ACAGATCTGAATTGGAGAGTTGCAACAGATGACATTACTTCTGCTATTGCAAGAAGTCTCTTTGTGCACGACCTCACATTCACATCTCTGTCGTAAATCCTCTCCTTTTTTGGAGAACATATTTACATATTTCTTTCAAGGCTTCCACAATGCCCACAGCCACATATACTTTGTTGTTAAACTATTAGCACTCAAGACTTTATGTCTTGCCCTGACACAAATGCAAGTATGTAGACACAAGGTTTTAATACCCCAGTGAAGCTCAGGTCAGTGTCCAGTCTCAAAAACACACAGGACTTATCATCACAGTCGCAACTAGTCCAACTAAGTCCATTTTCCCCTGTTCCCACAGGAAGGTGCAGACAGAGTCCCCTACTGGAAGTGTGGGCAGCTCTAGAGTTCGGACTACTCTGACTTTATGTGTGGAGACCATCGACTTCGACTCCCAGGCCTGCCAGCTGAGAGTAAAGGGCACTAACTTAGAGGAGAACCAGTATGTCAAGGTCTGAGATTTCTAAGCAACATGATGGTTGCTGTCATGTCACATTCATGATGATTGACTTTTCTAAGTTGTGCAGAGGGACTAGAGAAATAAAATTAGAAAAAATTTAGATTTAAATGAAGGCTTTAGAAGTAATTTGAGATTATTACACATGTAGATAGTGTCTGATAAACCTAAATGATTTTTAGGATTTGCAGATAAGGCACTTTTGGTGTATTTACTGTAAAAGGATTTCTATGTGAGATCGTTGTTGTGGACATTATATATAATATACTAACTATATACTTCATGTGTAGTTAACATAGACTTAAAAGAATCATGTTAAAGGATAACAGCAGTGTAACTTATTATTAATCCTGCACAAAGATCTGAAGGCTCTCTCTTTTCTGCAGTTTTTTGTCATTACCCTGTCATACTATTCAGTTTGTCTTAATATTAACTCCTGTTTGATATAAGTAGTTGATTGTGCTTTCTTCTTCACTCATCAGATGGGTGCCTATCACACTATTGAGCTTGAGCTCAACAGGAAGTTCACTCTGGCTAAAAAGAGCTGGGACAGCGTTGTGCTGGATAGAATCGGTAAGCAGGTGCTACTGTTTACATGTGACTGAGATCACAATTTGTCTCATCCTTGTTTGTTGGGCCCGTTTAAGCTCCCATTTCCCACTTGCACGTCAACCAGGACTTGTAAACAGTAATCAAATTGACTCGAGTATGTTGTTTACCAGACAGATTTTCCTAGGCTTTAGCAACGGCACACTCAGCTGCCAAAATCTCTGCATCTATTTCCTTACAGCCATAAAACTGCATGTTAGGGTAATTTCTTGTGTTTGATTCAGATTTGCACACACTCCTTGAAAGCAGTTATTTGATGAGCACCCAAGTGTTAATAGCATTTTTATCTACTGACTTAATGAACCAAACAATGGAAACAAGCACTCTAGACTACAAATAAAGTATTCCATATTAGTGCTTGTTTTAATGTGGTTACTTTCATATGTTTTCATTCTGTTAAAACACAAAACTTTGCCTCTTTTTGTCAAATAATTGAAATTGTGAAGAACACAGGGAGTAAAAATTTCTTACAGATGTTAAGATCATGTTAAAGGTTTAAATTGTGGGTTGACAGACAGAGTTTATCTATTTAAGTCATTGCTGCTGTAATTTTCACCACAATAACTTAAATCTAAGTAGAATTTTTTTTTTTATCTTATCAATAACTCAGTTCGACTACAGGCATTAAATCAGCATCAGCATTTATTCTGGTGGTCCCAGTGGACAAAAGCAGTAGTGTTTCTACCGCCTTGTTTCTTTGGTTAAGGAGAATCCGACCCAGTAGCAGGCATTAAGAATAACTAGAAATAGTCACTCTTCTCACTGATGATCTTGATCTCGTGTTTATGTAGGTCATATAGAGGAATCAGTAGTAAATTGAGACTGTTTCATAACCAGTTAAAAGCTCCTTGTTGTATGTTTAAGTTCTAGTTCCTTTACAAGTAAAATACAATAATTAATAGCGTAACTTGAATAACATATTTGTTGATAACTAACAAAATATCCACTACCTCAGATGATCCATTTAACATTGCCTTGTCCAACCTTCAGAGCAGGCATGTGACGCAACCCAGAAGGCAGACGTGGCAGCTGTGGTAATGCAGGAGGGTCTGGCCAACCTGGTGCTGGTGACCCCCGCCATGACTCTGCTCCGTGCGAAAGTGGAGGTCACCATCCCTCGCAAGAGAAGGGGAAGCTGCACTCAGCACGAAAAGGTAGGTCATCTTTCTAACCCTAACCCTAACCCTAACCCGCGATGAGCTCAGAACTTAGATGGTTAATAGACTAATGGGTAGTGTGTTCTCCCGGCATCTCTGCTTATGAGAAACCTCTCCCGGGTTAGGATAAGAAGCACTATGAACAGAACAAGGGTTGGCAGATATATATGCTTATAAATACTTAATGCTTTTAAATGTGTAGTATTGAGACCCGGTGTATTTGTTGTCTGATGTCAAACGATCTGTCTCTCTGTTTGTAGGCGCTGGAGAGGTTCTATGAGGCTGTGATGCAGGCGATTCTTCGACACATTAATTTTGACGGTAGTTCTGCTGTGTACACTGTCACACACACACACACACACACACACACACACACACACACACATACAGCATGTTCCTGTTTTTGTCACATGCTTCTCCCTTTTTAATTTGTTGTTCCTCTGTGAGCCTCTCATATAATGCACCGAATGTGATTTTTATGGAGCCGTTATGGTTTATTGTCTTCGCTTGTTCTGAATTTAGTCAGTTTCTGTGAAATTTAATTAAGTTTCATTTCTCTTACTTCCCTTCTTACTAGTGGTGAAGTGCATCCTGGTTGCCAGTCCAGGGTTTGTGAAGGACCAGTTTATCACCTACCTCTTTAAAGAGGCGGTGCGACATGACAACAAGATCCTGCTGGAGAATAGACCCAAATTCATGCTGGTCCATTCCTCATCAGGTCACAAGTACTCACTCAAAGGTAGGAACTGATGGGCTCTGAGAATAAAACATTCGAATCTCATCACTGGGTGAAAACTCAGTGTAATGCTTGTTGTTTTTCAGAAATCCTTTCTGATCCCACTGTGACAAACAGGCTTTCTGACACCAAGGTGACTATGCGTCCTGTGATTTGTCACCTTGTTTTATTCACCATCCTATAAACTAATGCTCTCAAGCTGAAAAAAGTGATCATCTGGTATTTATGTTTACCTTTTTTAGGCAGCAGGAGAGGTGAAAGCCCTGGAAGATTTCTATAAGATGCTCCAGCATGAGCCTGACCGAGCCTTCTATGGGTGAGTGATGATGGACCAGACCAGCCAACAGGCCTGCAAGAGTCCTCATTCATCCACACTGATAATCACCAACCTTTGTATCTGTACATTCTCACAGACTGGCTCATGTGGAGAAAGCTGCTGAAGCCCTCGCCATCGACACCCTGTTAATAAGCGATAAGTTGTTCAGGTATATACTGAGAGATATTGATCTTTACATTATCTGTTTCAGATACACACTGAGGGTTGTTTTGTTCTAAAGTGGTTGATGCTGAAATGTATATGCTGCTACCAACATTTTCAGCAGTTTTCTCTCGGATTGTCTAAATTGTATACAATCAAAAACTCATGCGGTCAGACGAAGGGTTGTTAGTGATATAAACTGACAGTCAGGAACAATCACGTCTACTCTGTGTATCATCAGCATGTTTAATGTGTCTTCATGTGCATGTCCAGACATCAGGATGTCCCCACGAGGAGTCGTTACGTTCGGTTGGTGGACAACGTGAGAGACAACGGCGGCAACGTCAGGTACAGATGATCCTTTAAAAGACTGACCGTGTCAACATTCACTAAAACTTGTCAGAATATCCTTTGCCAAGCATCTAGCTGATGAGTTTTGTCTTTTTCTTTCATGCAGAATATTCTCAAGCCTTCATGTATCTGGTGAACGTAAGTTATAAAACCATTCGAATTGTATTAATTTCACATTAAAAATACACATGAAAGATTTTTATATACATATATCTTAAGTATTTATTTGACAAAAAATTGAGCAACACAATTGAAACAGGGATCCACTAGTTGTTAAAAACTCCACCGGGTACCTTTTTCTTGAGTGCAGCTCTGTTTGGTTTATTACAGTATGAGTAATACCACGCCAACATACCAACAGAACTCTGCACTGATTGGGACGGATTTACTGGTGTCATTTCAGCACACATTGATTAATTAACTTTATTTATAACCTCCTCGGTGTAAGACAACAAGAATAGACGGATACATGACCTCAACTACATGATTGTGACATAAAATCAGCCTGAAGTACTGGCTGTGTATTGCCACCATCTGATTTATCCTCGACTGTCTCCTCAGAACTGACTCAGCTGAGCGGAGTGGCTGCCATCTTGCGGTTTCCCATTGCCGACCTATCAGAGCCAGAGGACGACAGCAGCTCAGACGACGACTGATGCACAGAAATGGACCAGAGGGCTCTTATTGGGAGAAAAGGAGAGGAAGCTCGTCCAGTGTTGCAGATAACACAAGAATGCATTGACTCAGTGCGTTATAAAACAATAAAGCTGCTGTGTTATGGGCTATGTATTCCACCTCTGCAACATCCACACCTCTTTCCAGTCTGATCTACACACCCATTTTCTTTAAGTGGCGATAATTTCCAAGTAATTTGATGCAGTTTTTTGGAGCTTTGATGCTTTTGGTTTGAGGGTCTTTGAAAGGTGTGTGTTAAGTAAATGCCAATGAAAAGAAATGTAACATTTGTTGCCAAATCCAAATGAATACAGTTTAAATTCTGACATTTAGCAATATAAGAAAACTGTGATTTTTCTTTGTAGTGTATATACAGTATATCTCTCTTGCAATTAAACAACAGAAGCATTCAACTCCTTGCATTATTTCACTTTGTCACAGGAACAGTTCTCATTACGCATGAATGAAACAAGTTGGAGCAAGATATAAAAATATATCATTTATTACATACAATAGTTTTCTTTTTCCATTTTAAAACCTATTTTGGTTATGGGTAATATGACCCAAAACTACTGCATTTTAACAAACTAAAAATCAAGTTTGCTCAGGATTTTTAATTTAATATAGTGATATCCAAGTTCCACAGTTACAACACTGTAAGTTCCTCTTATTCTGCTCTGGCAAAATGTCAAATTGTAAACTTCCCTTGCAAAGAATTTCAGCAGCTAGAACTAAAGTGCATTTTGAAACATGTTCTTCTCTTTACGCTTAACTCTTCCTGCCTCCTCCTAAATCTCATTTCTATCGGCCATCAGCGTAGCCGTGAGTGTATTTGTGTGTGTACAGGACACACTTTGCATCACTCAGTAGGACACTGGTAGGTCTTAATCCAGGCTAAATCCTCCAGTGTGCCCCAATGCAGGTAGATAATTGAGCAAATAACCATGACATGCATTATCTGGTGGCTGTTGCCCCAGTTGTCAAACAGGCCTGGGCTGAAGCGTTCAGGGATCTGGATGATGTTGACCAGCCCTCCCAGTACAGCCAGAGAGTCCATGGTGACAAAGAGGCGCAGGGAGTTTGGGCTTCCCACCCCGCTGCCGTACACTCGGAACAGGAAGAGGCTGAAGCGGAACAGGGCTTGCCAGATAAATGCTCGTAGGCGCAGGATGTTAGTACGGGCTGTGGTGGCGCAGTAGATACCGTAGGCTGACAGGAGGATGTAGGCCAGCAAGGAAGCCTGTCGAATGACTGGGTAGCAAAGAAGGGTGATGTGGATGATGGGAAGGGCCCCTGGTGACAAGAGGAAAGATGTTGGTGAATAAATGGCAATGTCAGTAAAGCTAAGATGTTATTGTCTTGGTTGTTGTCAGGGCTATTTTTAGGTGTAGAGTCAGGGGTTCAGGCTTTATTTGACTCCCTAAAGAACTGAAGGCAAAAATATTCAAGTCATCAGATCTTAGAGCAATAACATTGGTCAAATATAAGGCTACAGCCACTTAGCTTACTTACAAATAGTCCCATAACCTCCAGTAAAACCACAATCTGTTATTTTTACTCTTCTCTTTTTAATGGATTGAACAATCAAGATATAGCATGTTCATTTGTGAGCTTCAGAGATACTGGTAGGCGGATTACCTGTGGACAGAGCCAGGCTAGCTGTTTCCCCCTGTTTCCAGTCTTTATGCTAAGCTAAGCTAAGCAGCTGCTGACTCCAGCTCCATACTGCACAGACAAATATGAGAATGGTGTTGATGTACTCGTCTGACTCTAGGCATAAAGCAAATAGGAATATTTGCCAAAATGTCAAACTGTTTCTTTATGACAGTTGTGAAAGGAAAATGTTCAAATTTCTTATTATTTTAATGGTCAGCACTTTAGAGACAATAAATATTTGTAATTATTAAGACATGGGGAAAAAACAAGAGTGTGAAAGTACATTCTTGACCTTAAAAAAGGTATTCTGACATAATCTTAACTCAAGGTCAACTTCCCAGTTACTTTTTAAGCTTTTTTTGTTTTTGTTTATTATTATACAATGACAATTGAGCCAACTCCAAGCTCCTGAAAAAAACTAGTAAGTGGACTTTGAGTGAAGATTAATTTGTTCAGATTTGACAACATCTCTGATTAGTTATGATTAGAACTGAAGACGTTGAATTCAGATAGAGGACAGCAGAGCCAGTCAGCAGCAACGACCTACCCAACGTGTTAACTAGGCAGACCCCGAACATGTCCAGGGAGAGCAGGGTGTCATACACATGTTCTCCTCCCACATGGTTCATGAACACATGGTAGACCACTGAGCCCACAGTGGGACAGAGGCAAGCCAGGTAGTGGACCGCACAGATCCAGATGCTGTCCACCTCCATCCAGGGGATACTAAAAGGCAGCAGCACCAAGAAAAGGAAAAAAGGGATGCCTGAGGTGAAGATTAGGAGTTGAAAGGGGGGAAAGGATAGAGGAGAAATTAGATCAAGCAAGAAAAGAAAATGAATGTTTGAAGCCTACACAGGGATGTGAGTCATTTAGAAAGCGTGTAATTATAAATCCGTACCAGTTAGTATTTTATTGAGACAATTAGACAATTAATTTGTCAGTATGACAAAAGGTATTAAGGTTTATAGGATTGATGCCTACAGAAGTAGGTTAATGGCATTTGTTTTTATAGTGAGCAGGTGCAGTGTAGAGCAAAATGAGGAATTTAATAGTCTGAGAGTGGTTCCTCTGTTTGTTTCTGTACTGGGAACAATGTGAATGTGCCAGTAAATGTTGGCTACATGTACAGAGAAACCTGAGCAACACACTAAAGCTAATACCCTTCACTTCCCCTTAGTAAGAGCGTTAGTCTTAATGATCTTATGGGATAGCCAAGAAAATGGGCCATGAAGACGATGCCTTCAGAAGTTCACAGCTGTGTGTGTGTTTTAGCTTGTGCACAGTTCAGTTTCCATCTTTACTTAAGTGAAGCTTGCATGTGTAAGTTTTACATAAAAAGCACAAAATATGTTCACATATGTTCAGAATTCTGCGACCACTCTCAGTCTATGCAGATGTGTATCTCCAGGAGGCTTGTCCAATAACACACAAGGGCAATAAGAGCTGAAAAGTGTCAGCCAACCACACACCTTTAAAGACCTTGTTAAGAGTTCGATATTTCCAGGTCAGGGATTCCCAGGGCAGATTACAGTTAATACCCCATATCCTCATTACAACACTCAAGTATGCTTGTAACTGGCCATAAGTGAGAGTAGTGGACATCTGTGATCTGTTTTGTTTGTACACCCCCCGTATGGGTTGAATGGATACAAGGTGAGAAACAGAAAGATATATTTTAATAAGATAATTAAGATGCAGTGAAAACACTTTTTTACATTTAGCCCGGACTTCATTGAGTGGATTCCTAAAGAATGAATAACAGAAAGGCAATGCACAGTTAATTTCTGGACTTACCATGTGTGTAAATGTTCCCCAGCTCATTGTGCATGTAGAAAATGCTCCTGAGGCACTCTTGAGCCGTGGACACTGGCCGGTAACCTGTCAGGACATATTTGTTGAACTGAAGGTGTGTAGGGGTCTTCGCAAAGTCCAACAACCGCGGCCCTTTGTAAAGCACCATCATGACTTCCCGCAGCCAATGCCCTCACATTTAGTTGACAGTTCAGGTTCCTTCACCATTTACATCCTAAACGAGGCCACACTCACTCACTCAGGCACGATCATGACCACCATCATTGGACAGGTGTAATTCCAAGCAAGCAACCTGTTGAGCTGGCAAAGTGGCATGCTTTCAGTAGGACCAATCAGCAAAGAGTTCTTATCCCTAAGCTGGAGTAATCCTCACAAAAAGCCATGTGCACTACGGCAGCTGCTCCTTGTCATGGCTCATAACTGACTCACACCTCAACTTCATATTGAACAGGTATATTCTGTATTTCCCTCATTATAAAAGGTGCACATGTCCCACCCCTTGCTGGTATGCAACTATGCTGCAGTCTGGATGATCTGGGGATTAGAACACTTTAAGAGATGATTGTTTTTTTTTTAATGACACGGATTCACTGGCACTGGTAATTCTTTATTGTGCACTTTTAAATACATTAAAGGGCTTTGCCTATTATGTAACATACTAATACAAGTGAAGCCACACATTTTCCACTGTTTGTATTCATTGATGTTTTATTCAATCCAATACTGTACAATCATAAACAGATGCTTTGCCACTAGTAGTAAAAAAAACCCTTTCCCATGCAAAATAAATTAGACTGATTTACTTTTTACAGGATTATTTTAAGTTGTTAATATCAAGCAAAACTGACTGATTCAAACAAAACACTGATCATATGCAGCAGACACACTATTTCTTCTTCCTTGCGTGTTCAGTCAACAGTAAGTGCAGGACAAAAAAGGTAATGCAGGACGCATTAAAATATACATAAACAGGAAACCTAACAACTTAAAATGTTTACATTTCTATCTAAACATCTATCTATCTCTACACTTAAAACAAACACAAAAATACCAGGACTATTTGACAGACAGAAGTAAAAATAAAGAATAATATACAATTAGGAAACAATCGAAAATAATAATAAAAATAATATACAACGGCAAAAAAAGAGGTTATACTTGTCGTTGTCAGCATGGTTAACCTGTGTGGAGAAAAGGAAGCAGTACAAAGATGAGTGGGATGGTTGAGAAAAACACAGCAAACTAAAAATATTCAGCATCTAGTTTGAGTCAGTCTGTTCTCACCTTGATAGCCACTATTCCCAAAGAAGCCATTCAAATCATATTTGCCATTCTTTGCTCCTGAAGACAAGGGAAAGAAACAATGCAAACAGTTACACAAAAGTCTTCACTTTCATATCTCAGAATGTTACTCACACTAATTACATATTATGTCAAAGCACATACAGCACTGGATTTTATATTTAGCATGGTGAACTAAAAGGAATAGTTTGACATATTGAGAAATTACAAATATGTGCTTTTGTTCAGAGAGTTCAGTGTGAAGGAATCCCAGCCAGTGTAATTATTAATAATTACAAATTACCAACTTTTTCACATTTAAATAATCAATGAGCCACGTTTAAAGAAATGTTTTGGGAACAATTGTTATTGGCTGTGTTTTTTTATTGAAAGACAGTAACAATTTGTTGGAGTTTAGATAATATTAGTACTTTTAACCTTTCCAGGACTTGCCTTGTTGGTGAAAATGCAGTTTGAGATGCTGCTGAATGTGTATCTGACGTGGAAGCTGATGTTGAAGCAGGTCATCAGGTTGCTCAGGCACCTGAGCCACGCCCTGTGTTTCTGTAGCAGGTGCGGAGTCAAGGGCGAAGCCGGCAGCGCCCGGCAGGTTCTCAACACCTGCTCCAGGCAGCACATCAGGTGTGAAGGAGGACTCCACAGGAAGATAGGATGGGTCAGAGGGGTAGGCTAGGGTGGGGCTGGGAGTGGGCACTGCAGGAAATGAAACAACTATGGAGGACATAGTAGATAGAGGGGAAAAATAGGTGAATTAAGGTTATTGCCTATGTAATGTTTGCAATTAAAATTTTAGGATGAAAGTGCTCTTAGTTTTACCTTCTGGCACTCGTCCATTTATATAGCCCACATTTTCTGAAAGTGAATCAGTGAAACAGTGAAACATTACCTGTATGCAGTGGAGCTACAGGAGACAACCATGCAGAAATACACACTATTCTTACCGTATCTATCAATGGCCATCCCGTCGCTTTCGACTGCTGGACTTTGTGCCTCTGCCTTCACTAATATCAGGAGGAAAAAAAACATGTAAGAAGAAGAGAATGGGGTCTACGGTATATTTGTGCTGTGAATCTCTTTCCCTGACGCACCTTCTCCAGCTGAATCTGGCTCAAGAGGCAGGGGCTCATAAGGTAAGCCAGCTGTATCTGTTTAAGAGATAAATGCAATGTTTTTGTACATGTCTAAACCAACTGGTCAGGTTATTAGTTGCAATAATGACAAAATACCATATTCTCCACCAGATCTGCCTTCAGATTGAGATCCAAGGGGCTGCGACTGGTATGGTCCCTGGTTCTCTGTTGAGAGATTAACGTGAAACCATTTAGTAAATGTAAAAAATGGGGCAGAATGATTGATATGAGAAGAGCACATAAAAGGGTGCACCGTACCATATTTTCCCAAAGATTTTGCTTCACTTCCAAAACCAAGAGTTTGTGGTGCATAAGGAACTTCAGCGCCGCCTTAGCAGTTGGCAACCACACAAAGATGACAAGTTAAACCAAAAAAATAAACAAGCAACAATTTGAAGGTAGCTGTCATGTTTGCTGAATCTCACCGTATTTGCCTGTTAATTTTCCATTCTGTCCAAGGCTAAGAGTTTCAGGATGATATGGTGACCCAGCCTGACCTGGAAGAAAATGTATAATTAAATTAATTAAATAAAAGGTAAAATAACAAATACTGCATAAACTGGTATGTCTGTCTTTTTTTTATTGTATTGTATTTTTTTTCTTTTTTTTTTTACCATAATTTCCAGTAGATTTGGCTTCAGGGACCAGAGCAGCTGGTTGAGCTTCATAAGGCATTCTTCCATAACCTAAAGAACAGGGGGAGAAACAGAGGAAGAAGAGCAATAATAAAAGGTTATGGGGGGAACTTTTACAGGACATTACAAGCTAATTACTCACCATATTTGCCGGCTGTATTTCCATTACTGCCAAGACCAAGAAGCTGCCCACCATTGGGGAACCCACCGTATCCTGAGCAGAAATCAAAGGAAAAGAGTATAAAATGGCCTCTCAAAATGGACTCTCATATGAAGCCTTTTCAAAGTCAAGTGTAGATTTTGGATTTAATTTTATCAGCATATCAGTGTCTGTATTTCTAGAATGCTTTCTATAGCCACACTGACCATATTTTCCAGTTGCAGGATCCCCTCCCATACCAGCACCAAGACCACCCGCAAATATTTTAAATTAATATCATTAATATCTCAAGCTAGTCACAAAACCTTTGTAGCTCTGTGTATGGAGGTACTCATGGTACTGCACATTATATTGGTCGTGTTTATGATTGCTCAAGGCAAATGACTCACCATATTTTCCAGACGATTTGCCACCAGCAGGCCCATGGGGGCTTCCACCATATCCTGGACAGAAGAGAGACAAACAGTTGTGACACACATGGACTGACCATTCATGCTTATATTGATCCTTAGTGGGCTATAACACACTTTGATATATACATTCAATCAACATACACTGAGGAATTAGAAATATATCCTTGCAGTATTGATCAAGACATACACACAGTGCCCCCATAATCAAACTAAAAGGAAAGAATTAATAACATAACATAGAAATACCATAAGGCCCTGCGCCAGTAGTCCCTGTGCTGAGGGGTTGTCCACCAAACTGCAGCCCACCAATGCCTAAATCAGTGTGCACAGAATAATTGGCATATGAACAATGAGAAATAAACTTACTTTAATAAGATTTATATCTGAGTTCTTCCATAAATAAAACTCCCTTTTCCTTTCCAAGCTATATTATAGTGGAGTGATACAATACAACCCATAAGCACTCACCGTACTTGGCGTTTGATTTCTCTGCACCCGTTCCCAGGGGCTGACCACCGAAAGGCAAGCCGCCCATTCCTGTAACATCGGAAAAAGTTTTGGTTCTGGTGCCATAAATGTTTAAGTTAATACGATCAGTATTTCTTTTTGACGTGATATTGATATTGTGTGTTTTCCTCACTGACTTTATGTGTTAATAAAGATTTGAAAGCAATATAGTTATACATACCACCATACATGCTGCCCAATTTTCCATTTGGACCAAGGCCAGCGGACTGAGGCTCAAACTGACTCACACCTGCATGAGTCCAGAGGAAATGTTTGTGTATCATATCTATTGACTTTTACACCTTGAGATGAATATGCTGCTAACATGCACATATTAGTCGACCTGTTTCTGAAATGACCTTACTGCAGAAAGCAGGAAATAATCAGAATACTGAAGTGAATGCAAACGGGACCTGAGATACTGAGATGGTATGGTACAACAAATGCTGTGAGCTAGACAGCTCATCAGTTCCACATAGTGGAAAAAAAACTTTCATTGATGCTTTATGTGCCCAAACAGACATGATTCAGTACTTCCTGAGGAACACCACTGTGCTGCATATCAGCCTTTTGGATTTCAGACACTCTTATATTTGTTTTTATTTTTTTATTTTTTCACACTTCTGTCAATATCGATGATTAAAATCTTAAAATCTTATTACACATTGCTTGGTCTTACCATCTATTCCAGCAGGAACCACTGGGGCTCCATTATAAGGAATCTGTCTGGCGCCACCTGCAGAATCAGCAGTAAATTGGATTATTTTCACTCACTATCCATGTTGATCTAACTTACTTCACCCCTTTGTTATATTTATCTAAAACTGTATACTCAGTTGTTGCCGCCCATATTATACCTGATTTGCCATTCGCAGCGGGTATCCCTTGGCCAAGACCTGGAAAATGAAAAGAGGAAATGTTGACTTTTACTGTAATTGACACAAAAGGAAAATAGTTGCAAAACAGATTTTTAACTAAATGTATTCTTACTTGCATAGTCAGGTTGTACGCCAGTCCTATAGCCATTTCCATTCCCTGCAAAACAGACATATTAAACTACCTCAATGCTCTGAATTTAGACTACAATAACGAAGTAGCAACTATGGGAATATATGACCTACCAGTTCATTTACACAATGTGTCATTTTTTTCAGTACTTTAACAAAATGAGTGTAAAGCCTGCCTGATTTGGACTTGCTTGCTTCACCCAGACCTGTATTTCCTGAGAGAAATGACAGCATTTAGGTAAAACTCTGTTTATACTTTAACAATAAAAGATTTTGGGGCTTTTGGGAGTCCCAATACAGTTCATAAAGCTACTGTAGGCCTAACATATCATCAGCTCACAAGCTTAATTAAAAGACAATGCTCATCCTTTTAAAATGTACCTCCGTATGAATTTCCATATCCAGCTCCAAGGTACGCTCCTTGTCCGTAACCTGAGAGCATACAGAGCAATTATTAAAACACATTCCACACTTTAGATTGTAATTATTTTTATGACGTATGAGGTCTCACCAGGTTGCTGAGGTTTCCCTGCATAAGGATATCCCAGTCCTGCACACATATGTACAATGTAAGGTACTTATTAATGAAGTTTGAAGTGAAAGAGTAAACTACAACAATATCAAAGAACATGTTTATATTGACAGTCAATATTACCAGCTCCATATCCATTGCTGAGTCCAGGGACAGCGAAGCTTCCTGCTCCATAACCTTAGGATGAACAAGACGTCATTTGCTAAGGTCTTTACATTCAGCTTTATACTATGAAAAAGCAAACGCGTATAAATATGGTGGGAAGTTCCAGGCTCCTTACCTGGTTTGTTTGCTTTAGATCCTCCTCCATTTGCATATGCCCCAGCACTGGCACCGTATCCTAAACAATGACACAGTATCACTACTATCAGGCCTACACAAATCTACAGTAGGCTGCAGTTCAGCAAAATGCTCCATTGTGAACATTTCATACACATGAATATTGAGAATGAAGAATAAAGTAGATTTACCATTGGGTTTAGCACCATATCCGTTCGGAGAACCAGCTCCTGCTCCATAACCTCAAAACAAATTAAAGAATCATAAATAAATATAAACAATGAGTATATAATATATGTATTTATACAGTACAATGTGCGCCATAAACTGGGTCACTGATGATCAAATACCTTTAGTGTTTGTGCCAGCGGATGCTCCAGCACCCGCATTATAACCTTGAATCACAAAGACAAAACAATGTGTGCACTTAAATTTCCTCATCTGCTTGGACTGTTTAATACTCAAGTCAAGGAAGTGACCAGACTAATATAGGGTTACAGATATGTGCTACAGACAATCAGTGGGTTAATATAAAGTTTTAGCTCCCTCAAATATTTCACTGCACTACTTATATATAAATATAAAAATATATACCTATATATAGAGATAGATAGATACTTTATTTATCCCGAGGGAAATTCAAGATATGTATAAATATACCAATTCCTTTAAAAAAAAAAAAAAATACATTGTACACGCAGTAGAACTAAATATACGCAAGTGCTCGACCATTGTTGTGCACATGGCTGTTCATACACCACCAGTATTGAAATATAGTTGTAGTTACCAGGTCTAGGTATTTTCATCCATTGTCCATTTGGTACTCCTGATGGTCCACAGTCTAGAACAGCAATGTAAACATGTATGAATGGTGGTACCATATTTCATCGGCCAGAAGTGAAGCTCTCAGATTATTGTTCAAAGAAAAAAGACCAATGTTTTTTTTTGTTTTTTTGTTTTTTTTTTACCAGGTTTGGCTGATTTAGCTCCCTGTCCCTTGGAGATTGAAGTTCCTCCTCCATTCTCTGAAATTTAGATTGACAGACAGACAGACAAGGCTTAGCTGGAAATGATCCATGTACAATCTCTACTTAAAGTGTTATACTTGCAACATCATTAAACATTGGGAATTAAAAAACAAACCCAGTGGGTTACACTTAAAATTCACCTCATGCACTGAATGCACCAAATTAAAATGTACTGAACTGGTTTATTTGCAACCAATGTTAAAGGAATAGTTTGATGTTTTGGGAAATACGCTTATGTACTTGCCAAGAGGTAAGCTATATGAGCAGATCGATACGACTCATGTCTATTAAAAGAAAAAAAAGTTGTGGTGGTTGGGGGTTGAACTTTTGGGCTTCTGAAGGGGGGCTTGCCAGAAAAAGTTTGAGAACCACTGCTCTCTAGCTCCAGCTTTGTATTTAATGGACAGATTTGAGAGTGGTATAATCTTCTTATCTAACGCTCAGCAAGAAAGCAAATAAGCCGATTTCCCAAAAAGTCGCTGACATGTTGATTATTTAAATATGACAAAGTTGGGTGAGAGTTTCACTAAAACAAACATTAGAGATAAACACATACAAGTTATTGGTCATTTTCTCAGACAACTCTGAAGAGAACATGCGACACAGAAACAAACAATTGTAATAAAAATATGTCGAACTAAAACAATTATAACCATGAGCATTGGCAAGGATTCACTCTCGAGTTAATACTTGGGATTTCTCAATCTGTACACGTCATTATACCTGCAAAATTAAAACAAAATTCACCTTAATGGGTGTAGATAGTCTATAAATATTGCATTTAGATTACCAAAGTATTACCAGTAAGACTGAACCCTAGCCATTAAAACACTTCTTCGTGCAGTGTAGACTACAAGACTACATTCACACTGCAAACTTTAGAGCTCAGTTCTGATTTATTTCGCAGATTGTTTTTTTTTGTTTAGTTTTGTCTGGCTGTTTATGTTAATTTTGTAAATGTAGCCCAGATCAGATTCCCGCATGACGAACGTTGATCTACAGTGACGTAAAAGTCACATAAAATCAGACCTGTATCTGATTCGGACCACATATGAAATGTGCCTGCAGTATGAACGTAGCCTCAGAGTGATCATAAAGTCCAGAATTCTGCAACAGACTTCGAGTTAGAACAAACACAGGATTCAATCAACATTGACACATGCAATACAACACTAGTAAACACACCCAAATCAAGAGTTAGTTTACCAGTTGCCCCAGTATCTCCTGCAGGGAGACCTTTGACCCCAAGCCTGTCGGGTCCTGCTTCAGACTGACTTTTGATTTTTGATTCTTCTGGTGCAACCTCAGACACACCCACAGTCAGTGTCTCTTCAGGCGTGATGCTATCTGTGTCTTTAGCTGCCACTGTTTCAGGAACAGCTTTGTCTTTCAGGGTTTTGGTGCTTTCAGGGGCAACATCGCCCTCACTAGTGCTGTCTACCCCAAAAAGAACATCTGCCTCTGCACCTTTTTGCTCAGGCACAGCACTTCCAGTCACATAACCTAGAGGTCATCAACATTTTTGTACACGTATTATTTTACAACTCACTACTGCCCCCATTCATTAAAAAACAAAGAGCACATCCGTAGAAAAATATGAGAAGCCTCCAAATGAAATGTCTTTCTTGGACTGCATTTCAGTTCCAGTGCATTTACAGTATGTGTATATAGTCAAACCAGAGACTGGAAATTAAAAAGCAACATATTGTAAAACATTACACTGACATATATGCAAACTAATGCATTGAGAAGCTGCTTGAGCCACAGTTACAATGCAAGTCACCAAACACTCTGCAAACATCATTTGTAGGTTTTTGAATGCAAATCTATGAATAGCTTCATAAAAACATGAATTTGAGAGTTGAGAGAATAATAGCCTCTCTTTGTCTTTGCATATTAATACTAGGGAAATTACCAAAACTTTATAATGGAAGGTCTCTCCTCGTCACATTCACCTTCAGCAGCAGAGCACAGAGTTATCAGCATGCTTTCTTACAATATATTGCTTTTGCTATCAAACATAAAAATGTAACTATACTTCCAAAAGTTTCACACAATGGTTCATTTCTCACACAGCGGATTTAGGTAACATTGCCTCAATCAACCAGAGTCAGACGATGTTTGCAAGCGTAAAGTAGACAATTCATTCTTTAAAACTAGTACGGTGGCATTCTGCTACTTTATTTTAGCATTATAATATTATAACATACGGATGATGTATTAAAATATTTTCACTTCCACTTAAAGTTAATACTTAAATGCAAGCATGGTGGGAAATTAGCATCAGCCATCAGACAAATACTGGTAATATGAAAGTGGCTGGTAGATTTCAGACACAAAATAATGATTTACTATTGAGTGGCTGGTCAATTTTAGTTAATTCCAGTTCATTTCCAACCCTGAATGCAAGTAAAAGTTAAATGTCATTTAAGGCCACAAGAAGGTGAGCAAAGATTTTGTATTTACTATATTTTCTTCTATTAAATACTATTAAAATCAGTAACAAAGACTGACCACTGGTACTTTTATTTGTGGAACCAGAGTGGAACTGCACAGCCACTGGTGTTTTCCCTGCTACAGAAGCTGTACAGATTCAGGTTTAGGGTACTTGCCTTGAGGAAGAACTGCTCCTGGCTCTGGTGCTGGGTTACTTTGGGGAACCACTGGTGCAGGCCCGGATGAGGCTGCCTTCGGAGCTGCGGGTGCTGGTTCAGGTGTGGCTTTGGATGCAGGCTTTGGGTCTTTGCCTTGAGGAATTGCTGGTGCTGGTTCTGGTGTAGCCAGAGGGAAGAGTGGTGTGTGTTTGTAGCTCTTTCCTTGTGGCACAGGCACAGGCAGCTTTTGATATTTCTCTTGTGTCACCATAACAAGGATACCGCTCGTCGGCTCGGGGGCAACAGGTGCAGCACCTTGAGTTATTGCTTGTTGAGGTGTAACCCCACCCTCCTCTGGTGCTGCACTCGGCTGCTCAGGAGAGAGAACTCCACCTTTGAAGCCCTTTCCATTGGACGCTCCTGTACTCTTCCCATTTGGCATCATGCCGTAACCTGGGAACCAAACAGAGATATGTGGACAAAAATTGAACTTTAATGGAATATAATGACATATGAGAGATGAAACAAAACACAAGAATGTGCAGGAGCATTTACCAGTATTGGCTGCTTTAGCCAGCTGTCCGTTAGGTACACCAGCAGGAACAGCATAACCTGTGAAACATAGCAACACATTCCCATTGCAGAACATTGTAAACAAATGATTTGCAGATCAACACAAAAAGAAAAACTGAGACAAAATGATGCTCAAAGTTGCATCTTTTGTTTTCTGCTTTTTTTTTTTTACATTTCTAACATAGTTATTTTCTTCCTTACTTTCACACGTGTGATGACACAGCTAAAAGTGCTTCAGTTTGGATGTCACAAACATTGCATGTGTGTTATGTATTATGCAGGATCCTCACCAGTGCCGAGTGTTTTAGCACCTTCACTGGGGGACACTGCTCCAACTCCTTTGGTAGTCTGAGGTTTTGAGCCTCCGTTTGGCATTCCATTTCCTGCAGACGATGGTTTATAAATGTCAGCGTAATTGCAATCAAACAGTTTCAGGGTAGACACTCAGAGATTATTAATGAATAACCATTGAGTTTACCTCCATGTCCACCAAGTGTAGCACCATTTCTCACTCCATGACCTTGAGAGAAAATATAACGAGAAGTAAGCAAGCTGGAAATTATGAAGGATTTAAAATACCAAAATCAAAACAAATCAAACAAAGACATAAAGTGGAATACAAGACGTATGTATGCATTTATTGTGTCATAATTAGAGACGGGGTCACTCATTCTGGAGAAGCATAGTTGATTGTTGAGTCTTATTCTCAGGTCGTCAAACACAGATGCTTTGGGTTAAGGTAAATGAAGAAAACACAACAGGTGGCATTTGTGATGAATGAGACTTAATAATCAACTGTCTCTCTCCAACGACATATGTTAAAACAATTATTCAGCCTTTTGCTTTAATTAGTGAGTAATTAGTGTTTTTTATTGTGAATTATCCAAGTCATATTAAAATCAATCATAATACAGAACTAAACAACAACAGAACTATATAATTTAATTTAATTATGACACATGCACACATAGAAAATGCATATATCAATGTGCATTTCATTTAAAATTATAGTAATAAAATCATTTGAAATCTTATTTAATAGTAATAAACTATGTATTACAGTACATAAGGTGCATTTTTTAACTGGTTGTTACCATTGGGTTTGGCTGTATAGCCTTTGGAAACACCAGCTCCGGCTCCGGCTGCAGCTCCATAACCTCGGGTCAAACATAACATCACATAAATACACAATGCCACTGAAACAGCCAGGAAGAACATTTATAACACCTTAAAGGTCCAGTGTGTAACATTTAGGAGGATCTGATGCCACAAAATCCTGCACACTGGACCTTTAACTCTACAATGATCAGTTACCATTGGGTTTAGTTCCATATCCATTGGGAACAGCTCCATTTCCATATCCTAGAGATTAAACAAATCATTAGAAAAACATCCATATCATGTGTATAGAACTACATTTTGTGAGAATACAAATATTACCTGGTTGGGGTCTCATTGCACTTCCTCTGGTGGGTCCATATCCTGTAACATGTCAATGGAAGCAAATTACTTTATACTCTGATTGAGATGCCATGCAAGTATTTTGAATCATGATGATTTAAAAATTAAGTGACAGTCTTACCGTTGGGTTTGGCACCATGTCCATTTGGAATATTGCCATAACCTAAAAAGGAAATCATCACATTAAGAAAGTCACAAAAAGAGAGCCACAGATTCTCTTATTTGACCTAAAGTTATTCATTTTTTCCTGAAACTTATTTTTTTTGTGTTTTTCTATCTGAGAACAATTCCCTCAATATTATGTAAAGGTATTACATGTATGTAAATGTGACTGTACATTTACCTGATTTTGCTGGCTTGGTAGCTCCACCATTGGGGTATCCATAACCTTAATAGTTTCATAAACAGCAAGAATAATTAACCTCATTCTATAAATGGAATAAGATAAAGAATAATATATTTCTTGCATATTGACCCACCATTTGGTAAGGCTCTGTTCCCATTCGGGGCTCTGGCTCCAGCTCCAGCATAACCTTTTAGAACACATTGATTTTAGATTATTTTAATAGATTCCTGTCAAATGTATGTATGAGTTTATATGCTTGATATATTGCATTATGTAATATTTACAAGTTTACCATTGGCACCTTGTCCATTCTGCACACCAGCTGCAGCACCATAGCCTGAAATTGTAACAGTTGGCAAAAGGGATCAGAGATCTAAAAACATGAAAAATAACTAAATTGGAGATATTTAACTTTTACTTGACAGTTGACAGATATTCCTACCTTGCTTTGGTCCCTTCATTCCTCCATTTCCATACCGAGGTCTGAGACCCAGACCAGCAGTGCCATAACCACCGTTGTAGCCTATAAATACAGAATACACATAAGAACAAATAACATTTATGTTTTATCCATCATCCCGTAAGCATACATGTGTATGACTCACCTCCCATGGGACGAGCTCCATAACCATTGTAACCATTACCGCCATATGCTGGAAACACAAATGAAGATATTGTTACTGGTGTATTAGGTGTTGAGCCCAGTGTGCTGTGTCATGGCCTACACTCACCTTGAGCCCTTTGGTTCCTAGCAAGCTGAGGTACTCCAAGACCTCTGGAGGCTCCCGCTCCCATTCCCACACCTGGGCCTTAAAATTACAGAAGTACACATGTGTCAGTGTGTCAAAGGGAATATTATGACCCTGGACAACAAGGTGGCAGAAGATGGGTTACCTGTCCCAAAAGGTGGTCGGCCATATCCTTTCATAGGTTTACTTCCAGCTCCCCCCTGTCCTGTTAAATACAGAGATGTGTGTAAGTTAGATAAACAAACAGACAAACATGTTTTGTGTCACAAAAAACTCAAGAAGTTGCACGCTGCCCATCCCAACGTAACCACAACACGTCTCTTACCATTTGGTCTTGCCCCATTGCCGCTGGATGGGCCAGCTGCGACTCCTTGACCTAAAGAACGATCATTATTATTCAAATTATTATTATTATAATTATTTATCTGAATATGTGTTTTAGAGTTCAGTTATCACAGACATTACCGTTGGTTTTAGCCCCATTTCCATTAGGGACACCAGATCCAGCACCGTAGCCTAGATAAAAGAGGAATTTAATGAATCAACAACCAGCACTGTAGGTGCAAATCAAATGCATATCAAACTCGAATTTATTCCAGCACATCATCACATCTAAAATACCATTGCCTTTAGTTGCTTGTCCACCATATCCACCAGCTTGTGCACCGTAGCCTGCCACATAAAGAGCATTTAAATTAAACAGTGTTGTTGTTCAGGTGTGTGTGTGTGTGTGTGTGTGTGTGTGTGTGTGTGTGTGTGTGCATAAGGAAGGGATGTGTCCTTAATGAGGGGATGTGTTTATACCGTTTCCTTTCATGTGTTGTCCATTATTCAGGCCGCCTTGAACACCATATCCTGTAACAAAGATCACAGCGTGACTATATTATAGCAAATAATCCTTAAGTAAATTAGAATTATTTTTACAATAGATGCAAACTGGTGGAGAAATGTTTGTAACATTTACCATTTGATTTGGCTCCATTTCCATTGGGTGAGACGGCTGGATTTCTTCCTAGATTAGAAATAATATTTATAGAGATTGGAGGAAAGTTAGTGGAAAATGGTGATCCTGATACAGAGTTTAAACACTGAGGAAAATGTGCTGCAGTCATCAGAAACTGACAGGGCTCAACGGCAATGGCACTTTCTAAATGCTGCTTTGTGAACGCTTATTTACTGACCATTATATACTATAAAGGGAGGAAGCAAACAAAAAAGAAACCTCTGAAACTACTCTTGCAGCATATTCCACTGTACTGCTGTACATCTGTATGTTCATGTATGTTCACTGTACACCAAAAAACGGGTAAATACACAAAGCTCTCCTCAAAGCTTCGAAGCTCCACCAGCAGCAGAGTATGTAGATATATATGGGAATATTTTAATCATACAGTAGTTTTGGTTGTTGTTGGTTGAATTTCTGGACATTTTAATGCTTTTTCTCAGTCCTGAAACATTTAAGTAGTAAAATATCAGTTCTTGCAGACATTACCATTGGTTTTAGCCCCATTTCCATTAGGGACACCGGATCCAGCACCATAACCTGGCAAAAAGAGGGAAATGTATTAATCTACATGTGCACAGTAACTTATAATCATTTCAATTAGGTTTTAAAATTATGGATGGTGCAGAGACAGGCTTTTTAAAGGACCAGTGTGTTGGATTCAGTGGCATCTAGCCGTGAAGTTGCAAATTGCAACCAACTGAACACAGGTCAGCCTTCCAAAGATGTAGAAGAAGTTAAGGTGGCAATTATTTTTTTTACATCTAAGTGATTAATGGTCACTCACCATTGGGTTTACCTCCATTGCTAACACCAGCTGCAGCACTGTAACCTAAAAGCCAATCAGAAACAAATAGCAAGAGACTCATTTGGTCTGCTTCAAGAGGTTTTTGGAGATTCAGCCTACAGTAAAATAACAGATTCACTACATCATTTATGAAGAATTAAAACCATGCTGTTACCATTCAAATGGCCTCCGTTTCCATTTGGTGCTACAGCAGCAGGAGCTCCATAACCTGCAGATTAAACATTAAAGTTTAAACACATCCTCATCTCAGCATCTGGTCCAAGATTTCTCAAATGAACATGACCATTTTAACCCCCAATACTCTCCTAAGTGCTGTAGTAGTTACATTAGTTAAGTAGTTTTTTCCAAATATATTTCCAAGAACATGGAGTATATCCAAAATCATACATACATATCATATATCATATATACACAACATGAAAATCATGATATATTTCATCTTTCTGATCTAGTACATCATCACATCTAAAATACCATTGCCTTTAGTTCCTTGTCCACCATATCCTCCAGCTTGCGCTCCGTAGCCTGTCACATAAAAGACATTTAAATTAAACAGTGTTTTGTTCAGTGTGTGTGTGTGTGGGTGAGTGTGAGAGAAAGAGTGATGTGTCCTCAATGGGAAGACGTGTTTATACCGTTTCCTTTCATGTGTTGTCCATTATTCAGGCCGCCTTGAGCACCATATCCTGCAACAAAGATCACAGCGTGACTATATTAGAGCAAATAATCCTTAAGTAAAATAAGAATTACTTTTATAATAGATGCAAACTGGTGCCACATAAAGACATTTTTAATGTGTGTGTGCGTGCGTGCATGCATGTGTGCGTGTCATACCGTTGCCTTTCATTTGTTGTCCATTGGTGGGGCCAGCTTGAGCACCATATCCTGCAACAAAGATCACAACGTGACTATATTAGAGCAAATAATCATTAAGTAAATTAGAATTATTTTTATAATAGATGCAAACTGGTGCCACATAAAGACATTTTTAATGTGTGTGTGCGTGCGTGCGTGCGTGCGTGCGTGCGTGCGTGCGTGCGTGTCATACCGTTGCCTTTCATTTGTTGTCCATTGGTGGGGCCAGCTTGAGCACCATATCCTGCAACAAAGATCACAGCGTGACTATATTAGAGCAAATAATCATTAAGTAAATTAGAATTATTTTTATAATAGATGCAAACTGGTGCCACATAAAGACATTTTTAATGTGTGTGTGCGTGCGTGCATGTCATACCGTTGCCTTTCATTTGTTGTCCATCGGTGGGGCCAGCTTGAGCACCATATCCTGCAACAAAGATCACAGCGAGACTATATTAGCCTTAGAAAACATTTAACAAAACATAACCAAAAGATCCAACGTACAGAATGATAAGAAGAAGTGGGAAGTAACAAGGTACAACTATTGCATTACTGTATTTAAGTGGCTGTTTCAGGTATCTGTATTTTACAGATTAGTATTATTTATATTTATTTCAACTTTTTACACAAACATCTGTACTTTGTACTCCTTACAATTTCAAAAAACCTGCTTGTTACTTTAGTTTTAATGCATTTGACGAAATGATCAATTCATCTTAAAAGATGTAATGGTGTAACCACAGAATGCTACTCTCAGAGCCTGTACTTTTTTACTTTTACTTGAGTAAAGAAGTTGAATCAGTTCTTTCTACCTGAGTAAAGAATGTGTACTTTTGTCACAACTGCTGATAAGAGCATTTTTATAATAAAAGAGTGACCAGAGAGAACACAGGTACATGGCAAACTTACCTTTCGTCCCTCCTCCATTGGTCACACCAGAAGCTGCACCATAGCCTTAAATAGATTTGATAAATGGTGAGAAAAAGTTGTGTGTAGTTAGAATAAGCTCTAAATGTGCTCTGGAAACAATTATTAGGTTTGGCTCCACCAACCAGAATTTCTTTCTAAAATTAGATCAATGTGTTATGCAGATTTGAGTAAGTGTAATCTGTAATCACTCACCCATTCCTTTTGTGGGGTATCCACCATATCCATTTTGTGCACCCATTGCCTGACCCACACCTTAGAAAGAAATACTTAATGACAAAATATTCTCAGTAACAGAGGAATTTGCGGTTGGAGAAATTTGCTGTTAATTTACCTTTTGATGGCATCAGCATTCTTGCTAAACCTCCACCGTTCTGAGGTTTGTTTCCTAAAAACAATCACAATGACAGCTGTGAACAAAAGCTTTGGCTTGTGTGGAAATCACATGAATCCAAAGATTTTCAAGTTTCATAAAGACAGAATGTGATGGATTTACCATGAGGTTGTGGCCCTTGACCATTGGATACTCCAGATGCTGCACCATAACCTTAAACAGAGCACATTTAATGTAAAACTGTTGTGATATATATGATGCAACATATCCACTGGGCATATCAAAAAGGAGAAATTCACAAATGTCACAGATACTCTTGCAATTTATTCAGGGACTGCAGTCTTTCCTTAGAGTTCAAGGTAGACTATAATATGATGCAAGTTCAGCCAGTTGTTCTACTATCAGTGCAGTGATACATACAATATCACTGTGCAGCAATACATACAATCAATCCTCCATTTATCCACAGTTAATCCAAATATATTACTAAGAAACCTAAAGCTATTAACAACTCTAGGGAGGGTTGTTTGTTAATGAAATTAAACATAATATTGAGCCTCAATGCTCAAGCTGCTGCCTTAGATAGACTCATGTTAGAGATCATATCAAACAGGCCAATAGGGGAATCGGAAATTACAATTGTGACTACTCTGGACCACCAAATGATTGCATTTTTTAAAATCTTTTACAGTCTTATGGGACTTGGTCGCATTTTTTAAAGTCAAGAAGGGGTCCAAAGAAAATCGCTTTGCTTTTTAAAAGAGGGAAACATAAGGCTCAGCCCCGCCTCCCCAACCCAATAACTTTCGTACAGTCCTTAAATTAGAATTACACCCTTGGCGTATTTAAAAATCAAACGCAGTCTTCTGGTGAGTCAGTACTCAGGCGAACATTTTTGGGAAGTAGCAAGCCTAGACTCTTCAGAAGTCAATGGAGTGATTGTGTACAAGCAGTAAAACTATTCTCTTCCCTTCTCACAGACGGATGTTAAATTTAGACTGGTGCTGCCACCGAACCCAAACTGCCTTTGATTTCACAAACTGAGGCCGCTGGTAAAGAGAAAAGAATATATAGTTGCTTCACGTCATCACAAGAAAAGTTGGTAGAGGGCCGAGCACACGCAAGCCCTATACAGCGAGCGTTGCTAAGATTTCAGTTTAACATGATCGTTTGAAATTTGACAGGCAAACCCGAGCACCTGAAAGACATTTGTCTCTTTTTCATCTCTGCAGGACTCTCAGCAGGTTGCACAAGACTTTTATGCAGCACAGTATGGAAACTTTAATGAATTAAATAAATGACTATATTAAATTCTGACATTAGTATTTTAAATTCTTGCAGTTCTGTTATTAGAGTAGATGGTTTTTTTTAGATCTAGATCCAAAAGAGTGCAAAAGACAACATTTCAGACATGTAAAGGCCCATCATTAAAAGAGGGATCTACTACAGAAATGGTGCAAATAGTGCACAATTGATATGGATGTTGCAGTTTAGTCCAGTGGAAAAAGCCTCTATAATATACTATATACTATAAACACATGCAGTACTGCAGTTGGTGAAGGAAGGGTTTTGTCACTATGACACTGTCATGAAATGAACTCCAATGACAGATTATAGTTGTAAGAGGAAAACATAACATTTAAGAAAAGTCAGGGATAAATACTCTGTACATTTGATTCATTTTCTAACACAATATGAAACAAACAGGTAATGTTAGATTAGTTCCTCAATGCCAGCGAACAGACATCGTTATCCTTGGCCACATGTCAGCTCATAACTCACAAGCCGAGTGCTTCACCAGACACACAACTGACCGCACTGACTACAGAACATAAAGAATACACATTTCTTCTCTTACACTATACAGCTGAATTTGTTATGGAAGGTTTAAACTGGATCATTTGACTAAATTAGCAAGTTAACGTGCTAACATTTCTCTTATATGCTGCATTAATTCTAACAAACGACGCCCTTCATACAGTTCTTACATCTTAAAAAGATAATACTAATAAACACAGTTCACATATTTAATGAATTTATTAAATAAATCCCACACAAATTAATGTAAATGTAAAGTAACACATCCTGGTGAGATACTGTAGCTGGTTAGCACATTGTTTTCAGTGGTGGAATGTAGCCAAGTACATTTATAATACTGTAATTAAGCTTGAGACACATTTCATACTATTTTCTGCTTCTTATCAGCTACAATTCAGAGAAATATTGTACAAGTTAAGATTTTTCATGCAGAGTATATAAAGAGCTTATAAAATATGAGGCACTGTCATAGATCAAACCACACAACAGTACATAACAGAAGAGATGAAAGCACTGGTCAATTAATCAATGCATTTATCAACAACAAATTTCAGCCTCTAAAAAGTGAGGATTTGCTGCGTTTCCTCATCTTAAATGACAGTAAACTGAATCATTTTGATACTTTACATATATTTTTCTGATTATACTCACGTGTTTTACAAAATGACTTTTACAGTGTGGTATTAATACTTGTATTAAGTGAAGGATCTGGATACTTCCTCCACTGCACCACTGATTATTTTAGATACGACTGACTCCCATCAGGGGCCTTCACCTCTGTTCTTCACTCACCCCCTGTGTGCGCTGTCTGCACCAGCCAAAGGATCACCGCACTCTGAAGAAGTAGCTGTCCCAACATAGTGGACCTGGAGGGAAAAGCCCAAAATGTTTTAGACCCAGAAGGAGAGTGAGGAGGGTAGAGCAGATGATCTGGAGTGTGTAACGTACCCTAATTGTGAGGGTCTAATATACACTCTGGTCTGAGGCGCCCCTCCTTCTGCTTATAGATGCTCCTGTTCTCCAGATCCTCCCCCACTTGTTGGTAGAGACACCAGAGGTGTACACACACTAACTAAATAATTGGTCACTTAAAGTACATTAACACTTAAGGGAGAGACAGAGAAGCAAAGAGAGGGAGTTCACCAGATTGGACATTGACTGATGAACTCTGAACGGTGCATCACACAAGCTGGATTAAGGAAGACACAGTTGCTTTGCACTGATCCGTGATCATTGTCACAATTTACTATATAACTACTTTCTCATAATTTCCTGTATATAATTAATGTGCAATTCACTTGATTATGTCATTCTTTGTAATTATCTATAACTTCTGCAATACCACAATCTTAAAAGTCATTCCTATTTATTTACACATACTTAGTGTGAATTATGTTTAGATTTACATTTACTTTTTATACAGGCAAATACATTTATTTCTATTCTATATATTGTGTTAGATATTGTATATAAGTACTATTTCTTTAACGTTGTGTGAGTGGAACAATTGTAGCAAATAAATTTCCCCCTGGGGATTAATAAAGTATTTCTGATTTCTGCATGAGGTTGGCTAACACTTTGTAATATCATGCAACGCTGCAAGGCACTCTTGAAGGTTTCCAGTTTTCCCAGAGAAACAGAGTGCACTTTATTAGATTAAAATGAACTGTAGTCAAGTCAAATATAACAGGCAGAAGATGACAGACGTCACTCAAACACATTGTAAAGCACAAAAACAAGACTCATCTGAACAGTCCAACCATGAAAACATATAAACTGAGGTAAATACTTGCAGATATAAAATCATTCAGTGACAGAACCCAACAAATTGCACATGCAGTGAGGTGAATACTCAGCGGTTTAGCCCAGTATTTGGTTTTAAGACGTTTTTGGTCAAATGTTTCTGTAGACTAAAACAAATACAAAATAGTGTATACTGTACAAACAGAGCTCACATGCAGCCTGTGTGGACTATCCTCAGTTTTTATTTGTGAATGGACTTTATGACAGAAATGACATCACTTCAACAGGCAGAGGAGACAGTTTAAAGAGATGATGGAAACTGAGTGAGCTTTACTCATGCTTCTTTCAGTCAATGTCTCCATGGTCCCAGCCTGTACACACACACAGAGCTGGTGAGTGTGAGGTGCCCCTTGTATATTTAAAAGGAAAAAAAGAGTAAAAAGAAAAAAGATATCTCACCTTTCACATAGATTCCACACTTAAAGCCCAAATCCTCTTCTTATGGGGTCAAGGAGAGGTTAATGTCTCGCCCCACAGCCCACCCAGACCTCTCACATACTTGGCTTCTCTACAAACACTCTTACCGCCTGTTTCCACTGACAACCATCACTAACTTTTCTCCACCTGGTAACAAATGTGTCTTTAGATTTCCTCTCATCCTTCAGCTTCAAAAACTCAGTTTTCATATAAATGTATGGATGGGTGGCACGCATATCATGTCTTACAGTGTAGTCAAGGTAGAACAATAATGTAACTGTAGATGTTTGTGTTGACCTCATCTTGCCAATTAATTCATCAGTTTTTAGCAACGCTGGTGAGGTTCCACAGACTGTAAGGTCAGTCTCCCACTTGGACAAGATTGGACTCTCTACTACTGGATGTATTGAGACTATATTCAGTATTTAGTTAGACATTCATGACCCCCAGAGGAAGAATCCTAATGACTTTTATAATCTTCCGCTGTTTCTTCTAGCGCCACCATGACATAAATAGAAGTGTTTTAACTGTTGCATGGATTTTCAAGAAATCATTCATGCCGCCCTCAGGATCAATTGTGATAACTTTTGTGATCCCCTTAAGTTTTTATCTTTTAGAGTTAGTCTAACTCTTTAGTTTATGACCAAATAACTGCAAATCCAATGTCTCCAGCCTCAGTGACTTTGACTTTTGTTCTAAATTAGCAACTGTTAGCATGCTAACGGTAAAAAAAAAAATAGGACGACAAACATGATCAACATTATAACTGCCAAACATTACAATAATATCATGCTCCATTAGCATTTAGCACACTGCTGTGACTGAGCTGTAGACTGTTGGTCTCTTTAAAAATGTCTGGTTACAGCTTTTATAGGTGTGTCGTTCCTGTGGTTGACAGCTGTGCTTGGTGGAAAATGTACGTCTGTAATAAAGGGTGCCAAAAAGTCACACGCAATTTATACATCTATCAACAAATCTTAACAGAACACAATCACATCGACATCCTATGTGGACCTCCCACACCGTAGCAGTCACATTATCAGGGTGTTTTTGCACCTGTACTATCAGTATAAAACTAAGTTGAACACCAAAACGAACTTGATTTAAAAACACACAGATGACATGGATTGATAAAACGCCAAATTATCAGTTACTGTCAGACAGCAAACACTGAAGTTGGCTTCACTTCACTCTGCTGTATGGTCGGGTTTGGCTTGCGGAGGTCAGGATGTTAATGTGTCGCTCCATGTTTAAAAAAAGACCACAGTGCAACCACTGTTCGACAAGGATTGTCTGACTCCACATAGCCATTTCTGAAATGTGTATTCCTGTCCAGATGTGTGCAGCTGTTAGAGGCAGGCTGGCCAACGAGGGTCTGACTCAGGGTTTGGTTGACAGCCAGTGCACCCGGCCAACTGTGGAAATACAACTTCACTTGACAACGCTGCTTTAAGCCGGCTGCAAACAAACCCAGACTGACAGCTGTGAGCACAGTGAGAGGTCTGAGCGGCAGTTTAAATGAAACCTACCTCTGTATGAAGACCCCTCAAAAAAGGTATATTTCATTGTTTTTATGCTGTTAAAACAAAATCAGATTTCTATACAATATTTCTATTGATTAAAGATACAGACCAGGGCTCGTCCGATTACACTGCATACAGTGTGTTCGGGATATTAAAACAGGCCTTCTGTGGGAACAATACATTTTTCCTCCAGGGGTTCTGAGACAGATACTCTCCATGAATGCAGAAGTGGGCATAGCAGAGGGTTTAACAAACACAGACACATACAGAGTCCAGAGGGAGCCATAATTTAGAGATCTCAAATGCACCATGTTATCCTTGAATCAAAAAAGGACTTCAGACTCTGGGAACATTAAAAACTCTTGTTCAGTTAATTCAATTTTCACAAGTTTAAGTTTTATCTGCTTTATATTTCTTGTATGTAAAATCTGAGCCAACCTTCTAACCCAAGAAATAAAATGCACTCCTTCACATGTATAGTCAGGAACTTGTAAAGTTATTTTGAGGGATTAAATAAATTAGAGTCTAACACCTGTGCTTGGTCACAGTCCGTGTTCATGGCTTCACGCGTTTGTCTTACTACCAGTAATTTATTTTAACCATTTAAAAACACACAAAGGGACAGCATTCAGCCACCCTGGTCCCACATTCCAGCCCATTTCCATGCAATAAGAAAATATTAAATGTCTGCCAACACTAAGATTTTAAAGCATTTATGTAGTCTGGTCTTTGACAAACCAAAACACATTAAAAAAGGAGAAATACATTACAGTAGTCCAGAGAAATGGGGGCAACATCACAAAGTATTAGTGCTGGCAGTGTACTGAAGTCATACACATTGTTAGCATCAGATGTTAGGATCACATTCAAACAACTAACTCATTATTTTAATGATGAGGCTGTTTTTGGCTCCTGCCTGCTTCATCTTATTCATTTTCTCCACTATTCCCCATAGGCTCTTCCTGCTCTTTTTTTCTTTACTTTCCAATTGACAAGACTTCCCTTGCATATTTGCAATCCCTCATCTCAGTGACACATGTCCTGCTGCCATTCCTCCCTTTAGGAATGTGACACTGGCATTTTAGCAAAGACCAGACTTATCAGCGTGCTTAAAGTTCAACTCCACTCCGCCAAAAAAAAAAAAAAAAAAAAAAAAACAGGAAATCTGGATCTTAGACTTGTTACTGAGATTTGGGGTGATGTTCAAGTCAGTTCATAACCAGTCAGACATGGCCTGTATGGATGCAGTTTATGTAACTTTGTATTAATACTTGTTCTTTGTTGACATTGTTGTTACCTTCCCAGAATTTGGGGTCCAACAGACCCTGCTGCTGTATCAGTAAAAATAATAACCATTGCATTTTTTTTACCTTTAAATATTTTTATCTTCTGACTTTATTAAAATCTAGTATGTAGTTGAGCACTATCACGTTTTACAACTGGGGTCTCCGAGACCAACAACAGAAATAACGTGCCGTTTTCTGTAGCGGACTTCTGACATGTCAGAACAGATCAGTTCAAAATGTTGTTTATAGGCAATTCTCAAAATTAGGAAAAGTCATTAAAGTACTAAGGTGATAAAATAATGTCATGTATATTTTGGGGGCTTTTAAAAGAGGACCTGGGGTGTCCAGGTCTTAACAGAACATTATAGTAGACACCAGGACTTTAGAGCATTTTTAAATATTTTTTTTTATTTGTGTTGCAAGTGCTCTACAAGGGTGCAATTTAAATTATTCCTGTTTCCAAATGAATACAATAAATAAAAATCTCTTTTCAACTGAAACATCTAAGATGGAAAATTACATCAAATACATCATATTTAGTATCACTACACTTGTATACACAATGCATCTTTTTTTTTTACAAAAAACCCAAAATTGCATGACTTATGTTGATGGACCATGCCATGACAACTTTCTTAATGGTTATTATAATAATGAACATATAGGTCCAGCTGTACAATCATAAATTACTATACAGTCCAATATCTGATCCAACACATTTATCTCCTCACGTTTCTTCTCCTACATGTAACTGGCATTAACTGACGTTTGAAAAAGTGCAAATGAAGTGTTTAGATAGTAAATCGGCTCCATCTGCTAGTTAATGTAACGTATTAATGTAACCCAGTTTATTGCAATCTCATGAAACTATGGCAACATGTTTTGGAGGGTTAAAAACAAACAAAAAAACCCATCAGGTTTGTAATTTCAGAATAACTTTAACCTACTGGAGTCCAAGGGGAGGAAAGTAAAAAGATCAGATAAAGGAAATAAAAAAAAAAAAAAAAAAAAAAAAAAAGGGAAACAGTTTGAGTGTGCAAAAATGTGAAGGGATGAGGGAGAGGGGAAAAACTAAGAATCATTTTGAACACAGGTCAGAGTACATTATGTAACTTCTGTTATAATGAACACTGAGGACTTTTTGTCAGGGCTGCGTTTCTGCTCCTTTCACTCTAGTGCTCATCACAACCTGGTCATTAGCTGAACGTCTCATTAGCATCTGTCCACCTTAAGATGGAAGAGCCAGGAATCCAGTTGCAGACCTAAATAAAGATATTTGGTAAAGATATTTTGGTGTACATTCAGCATATATATATCTATTTGTGTACAGTGTAGAAATATCTGCCTCTTGCATGAAAAAAAAAAAAGCGGGGGGGGGGGGACTTACTCCATGTTGCTTTTCAGCTGATGCAAAGTGCGCTTGTCCAGGTAACGGCAGAAGAGAGTGAGCAGGTTTGAGGGCAGGAGGAGCGGCTCCACCAGTGAACACTGGGACAGCTGTCCCGCCACCTGGAATATTGTGTCGGTCCTGAAAGACAACAGGAACACTAATGTCAAAACCTCATAAAAGGATGTTAAACTTACCTCCAATCATTGAATATTAGCCCTATAATCCCCACCAGGTCTCAAAGTCACCAATGCTGGGCTCCAGAGGAACACCTGAAGACAGCAGCTTCTCTCCTTGGGAAAGGAGAGCATACAGTAAAGACAGTCCAAACTGAAAGGAAAAGAAATGAATGAGAAATCAGGAAAGGTCCATGCAAAAATATAAGCCAAGCTGCAACAGAAAGCACCGACCTTGTTCTGACATGCCAGCGTGAGCGACTCGGATGTCGTCAGAGATTCAAATGTCAGATCTTTGATGAGTCCAATAAGCTGACTGAACGTCAAGCCTCCAATCACATTTCTAAGAGATGGGTAAAGCACTGGAAGGGCCTAAAAAGAATATGAGGACGATCAGTTCATACAAATAATTTAATTTTCCTTTTATGCTGACAAACCAAAATCATTTGGTTCATCAATCTCCTACCTCTTCAGTATCTCTGCTCATCAGCGTAGGTAGATTACAGGTCACAATTCTCAAGATCTTCAATGCTGTATCATGTTTGAGGAACGGGAGCAGACGGGCAACTAGCCTTTTGCCTTTTGAGACCAGCAGGAAAGGAAGAAACTCTCCTCCTGAATCTCTACATCAAAAAACATTTTTGAAAAATTACTCCAATTCAGCATCCATCAAAATGTTACCTCTAATGGTAACGCTCCATTAAGAAAGCTAGAAACAAGAATAAGCTTTTTCTACAAGCAATATTCACACAATAGGCATCACTTCTTGCAAGTGGTGGGGTGTTTATAACTCACAGGGGATCATGGTGTTGCAGCTGGGAGTAGATGTGCTCCACTTTCTTCTGTGTCTTCTCCATCAACCGTCTTTCTTCTTCTTCAGACAAGACTGTGGTTTTCATCCTCTCCGTCTCCTCGACCTCCAACAGAACTATGAACAACTGCAGAACAGAACAGGCGTGACTGAGAGTAGGAGAACAAGATACAAAGAAGGCATTTAACCACATCAAAAGGAGTAACCAGCAGCTACCTTTTCTATCTTGCTGAGAACCTCTAACCGCTGTTGTCTGATGTCTTTTTGTTCCTGTGATGTGGAAATGCGTGTCAGTATCAGTATCAGGCAGATTAATACACTTCCTGGATGCCAGATGTCTCAAAAACACAATCACCTCGAGTGGACATTGAGCTTGGACTGCGTTAACAGCACTGATGGCCCGGCGAGGAGAGTAACACGTGGACACAGCAACTTGACCCAAAGAGCCTTCAATGTGCACCACTGGAAGAGCAAAAGACTTTTACAGTTGAAAAAAAAAAAAATGTACGCAGTTTTCTTGCATTACCTTTTCATACAACAGTGTAGGATTGGTTTCAGAGGTGGGGTGGGATTCAATTGAAAAAAAATAAATTTTTTTAATAATATTAACATTTTAAGGATAATATTCTGTGTATAAAAATTTGTCCAAATGATTTTTTTTTTTAAAAAAAAAAGTGTAGTAGTACTTTTACAAAAAAGGCACTACTACACTGCAGCCTCAACAACGTTCGCCACAGGGCAAAGGGAGTATGGCAGTAACCATCAAATACTAAATAATGTGGTTTAATAGTATTTAAGAGGTGAGGAGATAAAAACCTGGAGTGTAGGAGTCTGATTTCATGATATACGGTGTGGTAAGCTTGGGTGGCTCCCTCTTGCCCCGGATGCCGAGCTCTTCCTCTGCCATCTTAGCTTCTATTCGCCGATAATACTCCTACGACAAAGTTTAAAGAGGCTAGCCATGAAATGCTCAGGTCTGGTCCTGTACTTAAGAATTGGCATTTCTGGTACGTAAAGTTTCTTATTTGGCTAAAAAGCAACGGTGAGAAATGAGTAAAGACCTCCTACCTGGTAGTAATAGTCCTCAAGGTATGGATGCTCACTTTGCAGCTGAATCATCTGCAGCCTGGTGATCCACTCCTTCTCTTTGGCCGTCATGAGATTACAGTAAGGATCCCAGCCCTCTGGTTTTCTACAGAAAGGATATGTGATCACATTCCTTTTTACAACATAAGGAATATGACAAAATAAGTCATAAATCTTAAGTGATGTTACACCAACCGTTGGAATAAACGCTGTTTCTGACTGAGTAGTCGTTTATGTTGGGGGTGGAGCTGGGTGACAGGACCGGGGTACCTGCGGGTCAGACAGTCGAAAGCACCAAAGATGAATCAACTGTTCATTCTTCTCATTGCATACAGTTTAAAAACATAAGACTTAATGTTAAGAAAGTTGGGTATTAAAACCAGGCCATATTTGCTACTTAAAATTAAAACTTCCATGTAGTACAGCACATCTTGGGAATTCGATCGTAGTTTTAGTTCAGTTGTCTCATTGTAGTGATTTAGGCTTTTTATTGTACACATTTTTGGTTTTATGTCTTTCTTTTAGATGTTTCTATCCATCCTCACTATTAAGTTTATTTTTTTAAGCTGAAGAGCTATGGAAGGAGTTGGATCAATTAATTGATTGTATAAGCCTACATCAATCTACAGTCGTAGTCCTGTCATGCCAAAGTAGGTCATGTTGAGGCCTCCAGTAAAATCACTACTGTGCTTTATCCTTTACATGAAGAATCAATAGGTTCAGCTGTGCACCAGCTCTTGGGACGTACAGCTGCATATTTTATCTCCAGAAGGTAGAGTTATCCATTCCCCCCAACTTTACCTCATAAACATACATTAATGGCAGGATATGTATGAAATTCATGAATCTAAAAAAGGTAGATAAAGAGTTTTATGTACTCATGATGGATGAACAGGACTGCCAAATCATATACTCAATTCTCAAACTTTGCTGACAAATACCTTCAGGCCACAAACCAAACATTCCTGTGAGATACACAAGATCGTCACACACCTGAAATGCTGCACTGAATTAGACGAGGGGCTGTAAAAGGGGGACGGCCTTGGCGAGTTGGCACCAAAGCGAAGTTGCATCATCTTAGGAGTCAGAGACTGAGGAGTGGAGGGACAGGGCCGGTTCATGGGGAACATGAAGCCCCCTGTCTGATTCAGAACAAAATAACATCATTAGTCACAACAGACACAAGTAGATCCACTGAATTCTTTGCGAGTACATTTACTATTGGCTTTAATGCATCAGAACAGGTTTGATCCATTTTGGTATAAACCTGATTGTAATGTTGCCGAGGAGTTAACGGTTGACGTAAATTGATGGGTGATCCTGGTACCGTGAATGAATGCATCTGCAAGAGAAAACTCAAAGTCAGTGAGGAATTTGAGGAGCCCCACCTGATGATGACATTTTGAGAGAACATTTTCTATGAAAAGCCAATGGCTAGTCAGCTTAGCACAAAGACTGGATGGGTGGGGGAAACAGCTAGCTGGCTCTGTCCACAGGTAACAAACCACCAACTAGCACCTTTGCTAAAGCTCACCGATTACAGTGACTTTGTGAAGTCAACGAGTGGAGACAGGAAGTCAGTGTCATTTTTATACTTTGGTTTTTGTTTGCATTAAACACATGCAACAACATATTAGTTAGTGAGCTTTTAGAGGTACTGATGAGCAAAGCTAGCTGCCCCTCCCCACGCCATTTACAGGCTTTTTGCTAAGCTAAGCTACCCCACTACTGGCTCCAGCATTCATATTAAAAATTGGCCAGACATGAGTGGTATCCTGCTTGTTATCCAACCCAAACTGCTGAACTATTCCTTTAAAAAGAAACCATTATGTGGCTCAATGGATGCTCCACCTGAGCGGGGACTCTTTGGCCAAAGTGTCTTCTGGGGTAGGACCCCCTGGTTTCCCCTCTCCTGCCCCTGAATGAAGAGACAGGATATGGCAAATCCAGGAAGTTGGAGGTCAGGTGCTGACCTCTGCGACCATCAATCACACACACTATAGCACTGTCCTAAGAAACAGAATAAAATAAGACAACCATTTGTTTAAGTTACCCACTGACATAGAGATTATAACATGTGTTCTTTAATGATCTTAACCTGAAGTATTGATCCTGAGATCCTCCTAGACTTTCTGGAAGAGGGTGCCATGTACTGGAAGGGGAAAAAGAAAACAATTAGCAGGACAAACAAAAGTAACAAAAAATGTCTTTAAAAGTTTGTACTTACATCATCCTCAAAGGAATTCTGATACATGGCATTCCCACAGTCCACTATGGCACTGTCAAGACCCTTAAAAACCAAAAATACATCAAAATGAAGACGAGCTGCCGAGGACAGTTGTCGAAATTCACACAGTGAATAAATGTGCATCACCTTGATGCTTGGTCGCCCCTGCACTATCCTCACCACAGCTGGGTCTTCAAACATCTGGCCCCTGCCCAGCCCTCCTCTCTGTCCCCTTCCTCTGCCACGCTGCCCTGGGGGAGCCCGGGGGAAATACTGTGGCCTCTGTCTAGGAGGGGAGGGGGAGCTGTGGCGGGAAGGTGGTTTGGGGTCTAGCGGTGGTGTAGGAGGTGGTGGTGGTGGTGGTGGAGACGGCAACTCTCCAAACTGAAGGAGGCCATTGTTGGGGACCTCTGTGGTCCCGTGCGTATCAAGATCTATGATACAGATACATGTAGACACAGTAAGAGTAGTTTTCACCCTTTTACACTGTAAAAACACTTTTATATTATACAATTTATATTATTTAGCATAAATATGGTTAAAGAAGTTGTTAATCCTACATATAAATTATCAGCATTTGATGTCCAACTGAGATATTTATTCATCTTTTTGTAGTCAAATAATGTAAATGAAGAAAAAGGGTCTTTTAGGGAGTAACAAAAATGCTCCTTTTTGTCTCAAGTGCTGGTGATAGACCATAGGAACTAGAGACAAAAGGAAACAACCTTGCACTGTGGCCTACATGTCATGGGCAGCCAGCGTGTTATTAGTGGTACTGGAGATTAAGGACCACACCAGCATCCAACTGGACCAAAGTGACATTTACAGGCTACATACCGTTTAATATGCTGCAACTGAGCAGATAATTAGCTATAGCTTGCAAGCTTACATTAGCTGTGCACTTTTCCTCTGTGAATGTTTGTTTGGTCACTCTTCCAACAAACTATGGTGCAGGATGAGACATGTGCTCATGTTTGGACGTTAGATAAGAAAACTTGCAGGAAACTAAGGTGGGTTGAGTCTGTGGTGCTTGTGTTGTGTAGCAGACTGCTGTCTGGGTCAGTGTGACATCTGCTCTGCTTATGATTCAACACTGCCATCACTGCTTTATCCAGGATTTGATGGGCTGTATTGAAATAATGTCTCCATCTACGTAGACAGATACCTAAATGTTATTCTGTGAAATGAATACAAAACTAGGGAGGTGCCATCATGAAACCAAAAACTATATTTTTTCCATTGTGGTTTATGATTTTTCCCCCCAAAGGAGAACACAGGGTTTACAGAGCAGATATGAATGCAGAAAAAATGCAGACAGATTGGCAACAAAAAAACACGCTAATCTCTTGCTTCAACAAAACTGAGGGAGTCACGATAACTTACCTTCTTTATTAGTGATCCATTACAAAGAGAGACAGTTCTGGTAAATTGTAGTTTTTCCAGACTCCTTTACACTGTAAAATCTCAATCTGTTATGATAAATAAACTCTTATTGTTAAGTGTGATTGGATAAGTTTGTAGTCTCTTAACCGATGTTTATTCATCGGTTTACTAAGTGAATTAACAGAAGGAAAAATAAAGAGTTGAATAACTCAAAGCCAAAACCAAAGGACATTAAGTCAATGGACCAGTGAGTAGGATTAAGTGGCATCTAGTGGGGAAGTTTCAGATATATGCAACTGGAAATGAACAGCTAACCCAGTTTTGGGTCAGGACCAGAGCTAACTTCCTGGGGTGTCCAGTCGTTGCCGGTCAACCGGTCCCTTTCGAGAAATAGTTCAGCACATAACCCAAAATCCTTGTTACACTTTGATTTTTGTATGGAAAACAAAACATAAAAATAGCTTTAAAGGTTCTGGTAGGTGGGTCTTGCTAGTCCAGCTGTCTTTATGCTACAGTCTCCTAGCACCACCAGTTTCATATTTTGCATACAGACATAAGAGCGGTATCAATCTTCATCTAACTCTAGGCAAGAAAGTTAATATTTCCCAAAATGTTGAACCTTTTTTGAACCATTTGTGGTTTTACAGTGTAGAAACACAGTTTGGCATCAGTACACCTGCTGCAGTTCGCTCACAGGACTGTTGAAGCCCCATTTGAGGACAAAAGGATTGAATCTATTTTTGAAACTCTGCTGAAATGATGGAAAAAAAAAGCAGTAAAAACCCCCAAAAAAACAAAAAAAACCCATTTACACACCCATTCCAAACGTCTCTTCATTGTAGACATTGATCTCCTCATCCTCCTCAGCCATGGCCTGCAGAAGCCCACAGTCCATATTCGTCCCATCCTCTCCATCACTCCACTGATCTCCATTCTCAGGCCACTGAGGAGGCTGAGACACATTTTCAACCTCCTGGGTGGATGAAAAAAACACTGTATAGTGACTACAAAGAAGCCAAGAGGCAATTTCCTTAAGAAACAAGCGAGGAAATGATAACTTCTGTCGAAAAAAATAAATAAAAGAATCCCTTTATTCCACTTATCTATGCAAATATGATTCCCACAGCCATTATACTAGCCTTTTTGTGTGGATGTGCTCATTTAGCATGCAATTAATAGCTGATAAGCCAGTTAGCACGCTGTGTACGCCCTCAAATTGCAGTTCTCTTAAATATATTCACAATATTCACACATTAAAAAGCAGCCAAATGATACCGACTTACTTGTTGCTGTTCTAAATCACTCATTGTCTGTTTTGGTTTTTTTACACTTGAAGCCGACGGGTGACGGTGACTTTCTTCGCAAGGTTACCTGCTTTCTCTTGTCAGACAGAGAGGGAGGCTCATTAACTTTTAAATGAACTCACCTGTGCGGCTGCGGAGGCGTGTACACGTCAACACGCTTCACGTGGCTGTCACCTCGCCTTATCGAATATTTTATTAGGTTTTAAAAGATTCATCCTTACTCTCTGTTGTTCTTGTTTAAAACGTGGACACATTCAGAGTATGATTTTAAAATAGTTAATTTAGGGCTCAAAACGGGTCTTTTGGGTGAGAGTGAGCGAACAGCGACATCTAGTGGTCAAAGGTTACTTCGCACTGTTTTCTGCAGCAGTAATATTTTGAGTCTGTCTACTTCTGGAAATGTATTTACAACCACAACTCTATAAATGTGTATGAAATATTGTAATACATATGTTGAATGAATTGAATGAATGAGTGGATGAAAAGGGGGTTCTGGTCAACAGAGGTAGAATGTAACTAAGTACATTTACATAAGTACTGTAGTCTACTTAAGTATGCAACTTTAATGCAAGGTTATACTTCACTACATCTCAGAGAGTAGAAGTATTGTACTTTTTATTCCACTACATTTGTCTGACAGCTTTAGTTACTAGTTACTTTTCATATTACAGTTTTTCCCTTCCTGTCCAGTGAAAACCACTTATCTCCATATTTAGTGAATTAAAATAATAATAAACTGAATAATTTACTTTTAATAGCTAATAATTACTTCTTGAAATAACTAAATTATTTAAAACCTCAGCTGCAAATGCATTGTCACAAAGCCACCAAGAAAAGTTGACTTTTTATGAAATACTTGGTTCTCACTGGACAGTAACACTACAAACATATGATCTTATAAAATACAATGGTTTTCCATAGATTAAACTACCCAAACAGTATAAAGTAATTAACATGAGCTCAACATCTACAGCAGTACAATGCAGCATACACATGAACAGTAAAACACTGATGGGGTAGTGGAGGATTTTTTCAGTGTGGTGCTTTCTTAACATGACAACATGATTAATTTACAATAAAATCTAAAATCTTTTATGTATTTTCACACATGTAATTTAATCTTTTTTAATGTTATTCTTTCTTTACCTGTTATACATCTGCTGATTGTGATTCCTTTATTTTAGCTCTTTGTAAACTTTGTTCAGATGTTTAACCTAATGTGACTTTAGTCAAGTTTTTCTGCTCATACCTCCCACAAAGTCACTGTTATTTGTTTGTGTAGGGATGTGGAAACTTCAAATTACTTCCAAGTTACTTGGTTTCATGATAGATTCTAAACAAGTGTAGTTGTTTTTCCGCTTCTTAGAGAAAAAACAGCAAGACAAATTGTGTTCTCCTTTATTCTTTGGAATTGTTTTTAGCAAATTGCATAGGGCAATAGTGAAAGAATAATGCAAAATATCTGACATTAAACATATGACAGCGTACACAAAAACATACAGTATATAGCAGTCAGCGTACAATATATAAATGCAAATCGCAGTGGCACTTATACGTTTTGCAATATAAAGCAAATATATTAAAGGGGATTTCCTTGCTCAACAGTACAAATCCTTCACTGAAACAATACATTTTCTCTCAGTATAATGTTTCGTTTCTACCTTTGGCAAAAGAATTCAATTTTCAGTATTCAATTTGAATCAATACACTATGTAAAAGACTATACATACAAAATCCTTTGGCATCATTTTTTATCTGTCTAACAAATGTTGGAGTCATATTTCACACTGCCAGTCTAAACACAGTCCACTTTTTTTTTTTCTTTTTTTTTTTTAAATAAACAGAAATTAATTGGGTTGCATGATTCTCTTTTTATTCCCCTCCCTCTATCAACTCTAATATTCTTAAAACCAAGAAAGAGACCAGCTCCACCCTCATTCCCACAGTAAAAAAAACAAACAAACTGAGAACTCAGAGTCATAACAGCTTCTTCACTTGGTGACCCAGAGGAGGAGGAGGAGGAGGAGGAGGAGGAAGAGGAGGAGGCTCTGCAACGTCCTGCAACGTCCTGCTGTGTCCTCAACCAAAGAGTTTGATGAAGCAGGGGTGGCAGTAGGGTTTGTTCTCCTGCTCCTTGAAGCAGCCTTTGCTCAGGGGTTTCAAGCAGAAGTGACACACAAGGTGGTGGGGGTGGAATTTGGCCCCCATGGCGGTGACGCAGCGGCCGAGGATTGGCTGCTGGCAGGCCTGACACATGCTGCCACGGGACTGGTGGTAGTGGGCCTCACACAGAGGGTTACCCTCGTGTTCGAAGAAGCTGCCATTGACGAAGGGGCTGTAGCACTCCTGAAGATGAAAGGCAGTGAGATTTAGTCACAGCACAGAGCCCTGACTCACAGAACTCTAATTAGAAAGTTGTCATGTGAAATGACAACTTTCTCATGACATAATTCCAACTTATTTTTAGTTTTTTTAAACCTTTTTTACATGGCAATTTTCAGGCACGCCCAGCTGACACACACACACACACACACATACAGTTACACACATGTACACATCACAACCACAATCTGTTGGTCACTGAGCAGCTTCACTGTTGCAGTCTTTGGTTTAGTGCCTTCCTCATAGGATCATATGAAAGAAATATCTGTTTGTTGGTCTCAGAGATGTCCCGTCATTGATTTGCAGTGCCGTAGCTAAGATTATAAAAATACTGATCTCATTAATTCTCAAACTAAAACTCATATTCATGTCATTATAAACCTCCCGGTACTCAACTCATCTCCATATCACATTGCTCTGAATAGGGTCTTGAACGACCTCCAACCTACCTGACTCTTTCTCAAACTAAATCAACAAGAACTGCAACCATAACACACCAAGGCTCAAACTCTTGGTCATTTTACCAAGTGGGGCAACTGAGCTGCACACCTGCCAACTGTTTGCTGAACACACCATCATCAACACGGCCCTCAAACCCACAGAGAAACACTCACCCTGCACACAAAGCACTGTGGGTGCCAGAGGGAGTTGAGTGCTGAGATGTAGTTTTCCAGAATGGGCTGGCTGCAGCCTTGACAGCGGGAAGCAAACAGAGTCAAGAAGCACTGCTGGCAGTACTGCTGGCCCTCACGGTCATGGAAACCTGCAGAAGATACGGTCACAGCTTTACACAGTTCAAGAGTTTCTTTGATAAATGTTAAATTAACGGGATGATATGGGTTGAAAGAAAACACTGTCCGGTCTGTTGAACACAAAAGTTCAATCTGTTTGTAATTGTTTCAAGTTTTACTGATCTGAATTTTTAAAGGCTGATAGTATTTTTTGCCTCAAAGCTTGTTCTGCTTTAAATTTGGCGAGATTCACGCCAAAGACTAAATGTTCAAATTCTTGGCAGGGTGGAACAGAACAGAACATTAAACTCTCCTTTGAAAACCCATTAAACAAATTAAATCGTTTGGGGGGGGGTTAGCAGCTGTTTAAAACCAGCTTACGGAGCCATGTACATCACCATGTAATGTTTCATTCAACGATTAAATTACTTATTAATTGAATATGTATGTGTGTTTGATAGGTCGTGCATTGTTTTTTAGGTATGTAAGCATGACCCTGCTCAAGTTCCCTCTTAACAGTTGTTTGTTGAACCCAGACAGGATGTGCCGCCCATTACCTTCCTCTCCAAACGCCCGGCTGCACTTAACACAGCAGAAACACTCTGGGTGCCAGTTCTTATCCAGAGCGGTGACCATTTTCTAAACAACAAGAGCAATGAAAAGTTAAATGGCTTCAGGTGGGTTGGGGTATTTATTCAAGCTGTTCATGCCAGAATAAGCTCTGAGTTAAACAACACATGCACATCCAAGTCTCTCACATTTAGAATGGGCTTGTTGCATTGTGCGCAGTGAGGGGAGAAGAGCGTGAAGTAGTCCGACTCGCAGTATGGCCGTCCGTCCTTCTCGAAGAAGTTGCGACTGCCTAACTCTGTCTCACACTCAGTGCACACGAAGTGCTCCGGGTGCCACACCTTCCCAAGAGCTGTTACCACCTGCATGAGGAATAAGTCGGTTAATTAACATCTTACAAATATCTTTTTTTATAAATGATGTGATTTTAGACTCACCTGTCCTACCACTGGCTTCTGACAAGCTGAACAGTTTCCCTTGGACGATGTTTGAACTCCTTGTCGGCTCAGGTCTGACTGAAGCAGACCCAGCATGCTGTCCAATGAGCCGCCAGATGAGGGCTGTGGTGGGGTGGCGGGCTGCTGCTGTGGCGCTGTCACCACTGGGGTGACAGGGTTGGCTGGCGTTGGCTGGGAGGAGAGAAATTAAAATGATGGATAACACACCTGTCTTTAGGATTTTCAGTCTACAGTTGGTCTGAAATGGATTGCTATAGAAGACAGTGACTTCAAGGCTTTTTACATCCAGATATAAGTGTGTTTGGGAGAAAAAGAAAGATAAAAAGCCACAATATCGGCTTTTTGACCTGCTAATTTAAACATGCGTTCAAAGTATCCTATTTGTATTGTGTACTTTTGTGCTAATTTTGTTGTACGCTGGTGTATCTTCAAATTCCAGTGAATAAGTGGCTACTAATTGTTGCCTCAGTTGATGGGAATGTAATGCAAAAACATTAAAGGGTGTATTGTGTGAAGGAAATGGTATATAGACACAACAACAGTTAGGAACTAGTAGGCTGGCTCGTCTAGTATTTCTAGGCTAAAAGTCAACAGCCATGCTAGCTGCTCTGTGAGACTGTATTTAGGTGTAAGCGGTTCTTTGAGCTAAATGCTAACATGCTCACAATGACCTGCCATGCCTAGAGCCACGCAGCTGGCACAGTTAAAAACCAGGTATGTATCAGCATTAAGGTCTGTACTGAACATCTCAACTTGGTGATAAAAAGGGTAAAAAGTATCCAATGGAGAAATGTTCCTTTTAAAACTGTGTTCCCAATATAACCTCATGCTCACACTATTTAAACACCCACAGCTGGACTGCACACTGGAACCAAACAAAACCTAAAAGGACACTTCCTTTGCTCACACGCTAGCCACTGACCTACTGAGAAGGAGAATGACCACACCAAATGTAGATCTATAACTCTGACTACCAACTAACTGAAGATATTTTTGAAGCTGGAAAAATATCTCCACCAAGACTAATTTCCGTCCTCAGGCCCTAATCTGGTGACTGGTTTAAACCAGGAGTCATGTGCTGCGGCCAGGCCACAGTAACAGTGAGGTCATCATGAAGTTAAGTGAAGGTCTTCATGAATCCACCATGAATCAGTATGAGCTGTGTTAAATAAAGCCTGGAGCAGCTGGGGTTATTAACAGTCACATACTGAGCACAGTTATGGATTTACACTAAACAGCCTCTCTGTGTTATTTTGATGCTGTTGTGAGGACTCTTACCGTGCTCTGGACTCTGAAGTCTGACAGGGAAGCCATCAGTTTGTCCAATTCCAGTGTGGCTGATGTTGCTGAAGGTTTCGCAGAGCTAGAAAACAACAGACCAGTTGTTTTAATAAAGCCACAAAGCAACCCACAAAAATGTAATCTCATCCTCATCGAAATACTGAAGCGAAGATGATCGCACACTTAGTTTCAGTGATTTTATTACCAGTGTTTCGCTCTCAAGTTTTCTCGCTGAGAAAGACCAAATGGAGCTTACTTTAAATACTGCCCAGAATTTAACAGAGTGGGACTAATTGTGCATCTCTCCTGCTTGTGGAAACTCTACATTAAGTAGTTTGCAGTGCAGAACCTCTACAGATGTTCTACTATGTCAATAATTTATAAACTAAACTGATTAGATTTGGTACCTGGAAGAGGAGGTCGTGGCCTTATCCTTAATCTTGTCCCTCTCATCTTTCTTAGAAGAAGGGAACTGGGCAAGGATCTCATCTGATGACAAAAACAAGGTCATGTGTAAGAAAAGATTCACCTCAGAGTTAAAACACAGGGATATAGACGCACACACACACACACACACACACACACACACACACACACACACACACACACACACACACACACACACACACACACACCTGTGATGTTGAACTGGGTGGCATTCAGCTCCTGTAACAGATGGTCCAGCTCACTCAGACCTCCACCCAACAGCGAGGAGGAGGAGAAGGCTGGGGGAGGATCTGTTGTGCGGGGAGAGCGCGGTTTACACACTGTGCTGTAAGAAATCAAAGACAGGCCAAATTTAACGCAGATTAGGAAACATCCCGTCACTAATGTGGTTGGCTTCATTGTGGTCATTATATGTCATGAATCACTGGAGACTCTTGATTTTTGTCCGTTCAGATATGAGTCATGTAGCAGCAGAATAATCTCATTTGTCCATAACAGTGGTTTATCGTCCAAAAACACTAATTGTCAAAAATGTATTTAATGTTAAAAAAACAGGTCATTTATCATTTCTCTGGAATGTGTCTCCTAACTAGCTTTGGGAAGATATTTTTTCTGTGCAAACACAATGAGAGTCTGAGTAGGCGGTAATTCAGAGGTCTGGAAGCAGGCTATCAAATGTATTCCATGCAGATGATGCTTTATTTTAAAGTGAAGACGGGAGTTGCCATTCCTAGTGCTGATGGTCCAGTTTATGAGGTACCCTAAACTTTACACTTGAGTTGGGAGGCAATGAGGAAAACCTTAGCAACAGGAATCTGGGAGGGAGTTACCTGTATAATTTGTCTGGGTTGGAGTTCTGGGTAGATTTCATTGCAGAAGAAACAGTCTGAAAGACAAAAGAGAGGGCCAATCGATTAAGCTTTTCAATAAAGAAGGTGCAACAAATGAAATCCATACCCAGAAGCTAATCGTCTACCTGCTGCGGGGTGTAGGCGGGCGGCGGTGGCCGGGCTTGGGTGGTGTCCTCGGTGGGAGCATCGGCATTTTGTGGAGGGTCAGAGGTGAGCAGGACAGGGCACCGAGCTAGAGGAGAGCCGGTGTTCTCCAGATCAGCAAGGAGGGCATCTGGAGGAGAGAGAGGGGGAAAAAGAAAGTGAATAAGGGAGAGAGAGAGAGGAATAATGAAACATGTAACAGCATGAAGGTGACTAAAGTTAGTTTAGATGTACAATTTGATTTAGCTTCAGGTTGCTTTTGAGAAATAAAGACAATTAACCACCCAATAATGTATCTTTAGAATTGTCCCTGATGGTATTATCAGTTTGTTTATGAAGCATCAAAGGTACACAGAAAGGGATGAGTTAAGAAACAGATTTAAAGACCATGCAGTGCAGATGGAGATAAAAAACCGACTGGACAATAGACTGAACGCATTTAGCCAAGGCAATGTTAAACAAGTAAAATCAGACAGAATGAAACATGGAAACACATGCACAGACAGTTACGTACCAAACACAACAATACGAGGACTGAGAGGGTAGTTAGGTGGCTCAGGCACTCCTAAGGAGAGACAGAGAGCCTGTGTGACCAACACAGCAGCAGCAAAATCAGCCCACACATCAAGACACGACAGGGAGGACAGTAAGCGTCCTCAGACACTAATCAGTCAGAGGACAGGACGGTCAGACTTGGCACAACCCAGAGATAATCCCTCGACACAGTAAAGTTATTAGAACACACACATTTCTGCATTCATATCCAAGACATGCCAGCATGGAAAGGAAGCAGAGGAGGAAGAGTGTTTGGCAACTGATATCTAAATCCACTCCACCCCTCCCTCCTTATCACACACTCACTCCATGCTGAAAGTGGAAGTTGTTCAGAAGCTGTCATCATTTAGTGCTGACAAGTCCATGTACGTGCAAATGAAGGCCAAAGCGAGACTGTAAGAAGTGTGCTGAACATGAGTAATTACCAACTTAAAGTTGTAGAGGACAGGCTGCTGTCGAACGCTGACTTAACCTTTCACACTGATGATACAATACTGAGCATAGCTTAGTGCATCCCAACCTTCTGTGGCTTTTTGTACCCCCACAGCCTGATCTGTACCCTTTCATCGACATCATCCCTCATGTTCCTAGTGTGTTTATTTGAACTGATTTTAAACAGGATATGATTTAACAATACTAAAGGGCCAACCAAGTAATTTAATATCGCACTTCCCAAAAGTTGTGGGACTTGCAAGAGAAACATTAATTAATTAATTATTTAATTAATAGTCAAAGTCAGGACAGCAGAGGCCCAAGTATACTGGTATTTGGTCCCCAGAAACGCTGGATCATACAATTCCCATAATGCAAATCAATAGGATCTGTCTATGTTCCTGATACAGCCGACATTATGCAAACGTAATGCAGGGTAATTGTAATTAAAGTGTGTAGGATTCAGCATCTAGCAGTGAAGTTGCAGATTGCAACCATTTGAATACAGCTCAGCCTTCCGAGCTTGTAGGAGAAACTATTGAAAACATACGGCTGAATATCACTCCTCATGATAAATGAGCTGGTCTTCATGGGTAAAGTTGGTGGTGTGCCCCTTTAATTAGATGAACGTGAGTATTTTTTCTATTCAGTGAGTATTAACACAATCCCGACTGTATCTTGTAGGTTGGTGTCCTGTGTAATTGTCTTATCATAGCTGGCAGTGTATTGATTATTAATATACGATAAATATAAACCCTGGCACCCTCTGGTACCTCTGGTTGAGAATCACCGATCAGGCATAAAGCCAGGTTAAGATCACAGCTCCGACCAAGCGCCTCAACAGACAGGACAACAGAGACAGGATCTGGGGTGATGAGGTCTGGAGCACACGCTTATAGTCTGAGTCTTTTTTAATAAGGCGCTGTCCCTTGTTAAAAAGCTTTAATTATAACCATGTGTACCAGACCTCATCACTGCAGATAAATCACTTAACTTTGCTTTGGTAACCATTTTGCAGCTGGTCTGGACATTTTAGGACTTCAAGGAACTATTGTCAATGTTGGCTCACAAGCTGAGCTACAAGGTTCATTCTTGACTTTAGAAACAGCAGTTGTGAACACCACAAGGTCCATTTAATTATATTTATTCCATGTAATACAGCCACTAAATGGACCTTGTGGTGAGACTGTTTTCTAATGTGCTGTTTCTGAGGTCAAGAACGAACTGTGAACCTCAGATTCTCACATTCTGGTAGCCTTCGCGGACCGATATCATGGATGTTTGATTGATTAGACATCTGTGGTGATGAGTTAGACATGATAAAGCTAAACTAATTCACCCTGCTGCGGTCACTTCTGCCCCGGATGATTCACACTTCTGGTACGACCATGTGGTGAGAATCTTGTGCATATACTACTTGCCCTCCTCCTCCCTGCTGTGTGTCTCTGTTTCTTACACACACACACACACACACGCACACACACATACTCTTACAGACTAAACTGCTCATATAAGGAGCTGAACGTCTCTCAATGGGAATTATGACCATATTTAGAGCTGCCTGTCGACTTGTTTGTCTTGGCCAAAGGCCTCTCTAACAAGTGGTCTCTCTCACCGAAAAACCTCGCCAGATCCAGTACATAAACTTACAACATTGTTGGACAACAGCATAAGCCTGAGTGTCTCGAACATGGCCACTGCCTGACTAAAACACTCACCCACAGTCCCACAGCAACACGGTCTCAACCGTGTGCAATCCAGTCCAGATGTGCCCAGATGTGCTTGGCTACATCTGGCCAAAACCTTCCAGTATTGCTTGAAAAGCATAAATCCCTCAGTTCTGAAGAAGTGGACGGGCAGCTAAGGCACAAAAAAAAAAGAAGCCCTTTCTATTTTCATTGAACTCTGTGGCTTTCTAAAACAGCAGCGTGGCCCTGGGCTATTTCAGGGCCTCTCCGACACAGTTATTCCCAAACACTAAGAGTCTCATAATGTTGCTCTGAGAAAAAAGCAGAAATCTCCCTTCAACATCCCCTATCAATAGAAAAGGACAGAAGCAGCCATGCTCCCGCTTTGATGTCTTCAAAATGGAAAACACTGTTGAACATCATGGGGCTTCTCTCAATCCCTGACTCGGTTAATATTAATGGATGAGGAAAGCCGGCCGTGGATGCCTTTAAATCTAATTTAGGAAGAATTTATTGAATTTGCAGGGGCATGCACATAACACTCAGAAGCGGTCAGGCGGACACAGAGTCATGTAGAAGTGCTTTCTTGTGTTACCTGTGTGAGTGTGTCTGTTTTTGCATGGAAAGGTAAATACAATCCTGCAATCTCAGGGGATGGGTGATCAGGATGAAAGAGAGAATGAGGTTCCCTTGTATAGAGTGGAAGTTTTTTCTTTGCCTTATGTTCCACTGGGAGCCAATAAAATCCCATTTATATTACAGCCTCATACATTTCCTGGATGGAAAAAGAAAGCAAATTCTACTCCTCTGTGACTGCCAGAATGAACAGAGACCTTATTTCCTCTGTTTGGGCACACCACCCCTTCCCCAAAAGATCCCCCTCAAGATATCTCACCATGTAGTTGCAGCGCTTTGAAGCGAAGAACAGCTCCAATACTCACCCAAATCGTCCATGATATGATTTCAGCCGAGTGTTTCCCTCTTTGTGTGACACAATACGGACGCGGACAGCATTAATAAGTAGTGATGGACGCGTAGCAAAGCCCGCAAGATAAGACTATTGTCTGCGTCGGTCCTGGATAACTTCTTGGACACCGTTATCCGCCAAGAGAAGAGGAGGAGGAGGAGGAGGAGGAAGAGGAGGGCGTCCCGTTTCTTTTTTTCCTACACGACTCTCTTCCTGTGTAATGCCTACCAGGACCTCAGACTGGAGAAGGCGTAGTTAAATAAATGTGGTTACAAACCCCGCATTCCCCGGACACGCGACGTCATCCAGGACATTCCTAGTCCATATTTGGGAGAGAAAATTAAGGATTTTAGTGGCGGCGCGGCGCGAGCTGCGCAAACTGCAGCCGGACGCTGCTGCGACGGTGAGCTCGTGAACCGGTGACTGGGAATACTGGGGGGAAAAAGCATCCACTGGTGTCCTTGGAAGAACAGAGACGGGCCTTTTTTTTAAAGAAGAAAAAAGGCGTAAAGAAAACATTTGGATGTGATTATATACATCAAAGAAAATGTGATATCCCATTTTATGTATTTGTATTTCCCAATACCAGCTTCATGGATTTATTTTTTATTCCAAATTAAATAAATTATTTTTATTCCCCTTTTATTTCTATCAAAACTTACTCAAAATAAAAAAATAGATCCGTCTTGTCATTTCCAAGTTTTTCCCCAAAAAACTATTTCTATGCGTTTTATCCACTTCATGACAGGATTAAAGGACAGGTTCACATTTTATTTTATTTTTCTTAATAAAACACTCACATTCCCATATATATATTTACACTTAAAGATCCAATGTGTAACATTTAGATGGATCTATTGGCAGAAATTGAGTATAATATTCATAGGTAGGTTTTTTTTTTTCTTGGTGTATAATTGCCTGAATATAGGAATCATTGTGTTTATCTACATAGGGAGTGCGTCCTGTTCTAAGGAAGCTGTCATGTTGAACCACCATGTTCCTACAGTGGCCCAGAACAGACAAACCAAACACTGGTTGTAAATAGGTCTTTCGCATTTTTGGCAGCCGCCAGTTTATCCTACACACTTCACAGCCCGTTCTCACATTAGCGTTTAACTTTTGACACAGCCACCAGATCACACAATAATGCAAGACTGAACTGATGTTCATTACTCTGATGTTAGTGGTAATCGAATTACGAAAAAAGTAACTGATACAGTAATCCTGAGACTTTTGGGGCCCCTAGAGGTTTAGGTAGGGTGAGGACATTTTCAGGGTCCTGGTACTGGGCATGGTGGCTCACTGTCGCTCCTTATTGGGACACACGAATAGAACAGAGCCATCATTAATGTTATTTGTAACATCTGTGGTTTTCCTATTGTGACATGTCAATAATCAGTTAAACTCTTCATTAAATGTTGACACAAACCCTTGTTTTAAAAAAGAAAACCCAAAACAGCCAGCAGTGTAAAAAACAAAACAGGAAAAACTTTTAATTAAGCAAGCTCACAGTTACAGGCTATGTTTGTGTGATTAGGGGAAGGTGCCACATTGATGTTGGTGATGTATGCATTTTCAAAACTTCAGTTTTAACACCAGAAATCTCTCCTCCTGTGTATACTGTATGACCAAAAAAAAAAACAACCCTCTGTTGTCAAAGAGGTTCCTGCCTTTGGTCTCAGTGCATGAAACATAAAAAAAAAAAAAATAAAACTGACAAGTAAAACATACTGAAAAACAAATTGACAAAAAACGTAACACAGTTATTATTTAAAGACTTTCATTCCTGGTATGAAATCAAATCAGAAATGTACAAAAAACTGGGAGAATCAGACCAAGGAAACTTATTGGTGGAAGATGGTGTGTGTGTGTGTTGTGTGTGTGTGTGTGTGTGTGTGTGTGTGTGTGTGTGTGTGTGTGTGTGTGTGTCTGTTTTCTGTGGAAATAAAGCCTTTGTTTTGAACTTGTTCATGCAGTTTGCCGATTCAGACACCGGACTCCTTACCTATGCATGTTACTTCTAGAGCACTGTGACACACAACTACGTCTTCACCTTTTCCAAAATATTAATGATAATAATTATAATAACTCACACACGCATACACACAATCATACTTTTCCAAACCAACTTCTTCACTCAAAAAACTTGAGCCAGTTGGTGCTTAAGAGCAAAGTCAAGGAGCAGAACTGCATGTGACGTGGAAATCATAAAGAGTTAAAAAAGATGATTTGTGAAGCAAATTGGAGGGGGGGGGGGGGGGGATGCTGGGATGATAGCATGAAGGTAACATGGATAGGCTTGGTTACCTACAACGTCCCCATCCATCAACTGAAAATATATTACACATCCTCCACCCCGCTACTTCTCCACTGCAGTTAATCCACACACACCCACTTCAATCCTTCTCTCCATTGCTCGTTTCCTCTCCCCTGTCATCACTGCACAGCCTGTTCGTTGGCAGTGCTACCAGAGTCCTGGGGCTTCATCACATCAGGGAGTTCTGGGGGGCTGGAAAAGGCCTCGATGTGCAGCTGTTCGAACATCTCATCTGGAGGGCAGAGGAAACAAAGAGACATTAGGTCCATCGTGACAGCAGAGTTGCATGTGGCCGCATCAGTCATGTCACCAAGTTTCTGCAGTGAATGTTGACTGGAAAGTCTTTTTGGATGGATATTCAAGTTTGAAAGCAAAAACTGGTTAATACACTCTTAAAAAAGTGCAAAAGGAATCCTATGAATGTGTGTCATATTCAACTACCTTCATAAATGGCTTAAAGTCCAATTCAAATCTAATTTCTAGACATTTGTGTCAAAGGAATTTAAACTATATAGATATAGTCCCCTTATTTGTCGCTTATGTTGTCTTGTGCGTTGTAAACTCACATATGATGTCAATAAAAACAACACTGTCATAGCTTTAGGCCACACTTAAGATTTTACAGCAATGTCTGACAAATCCAATGCTGATGGGACAGCGGTACCAATTTCTCAAAAAATGCCCCTGCACTACCAACCACTACCTTGGTGTCTATCACTAAAATAAAAGTTGCACTGCCATAGCTGAATAATGTTCACTGGACAAAGTTTGAGAGCATTCAGCACATGGCAAACATTATTTCGCCAAGAGAAGAAAATAGATGAGTTATAGTAGTTGACAACTCTGCAGGCATACATACGCCTGATGCTGATTAACTGGCACAATGTACAAATGATAGCAATCAATTAATAAAAAATAATTACTGACATTACACAGTTGAACTAAACAACACAACTAAAGACTAAAGAAAGAATAATTCTCCACCCGGAAAACCAGAAAGACAGGAAATCAAAGTCAATATATTCCTGATCCTAGAAGCTCCCAAATAACGTAAAATGAACATACCATTTATGCGGAAGGCCAGACCAACTGTAGCTGGGGCTTGAGGTCTGGCAGTCTGGTTGGTGAATCCACAGTCACCAAGAGTTTTGCTGTCCTCTAGCAACTGGTCATCCTGGGAAATAAAAGTGTTAAAAAAAATGTCACAGAATCCCCTAACGGCTTCAAAATGTATGAATTTCCTTCGATTAATATCGAGACAGCGTGTGAGACATTTCCAAAGAACAATTTAGTCGCCCAAACTAAGTTAACGAACAAGTTAGATGCCAGTACGGTCAACAAGGACCTAGACAGAAATGTGATGCTGTCCAGGTTTAATAAGGTGTCACTGGCATGCTCGGCCTTAAACTCACTTTGTAAAGCCGCTGGTCTTCAGGTGTTCTCTTAAGAATTCCCTCAACAATGCGCTTCAGCTCATAGACAGTGGTCGACTCCTTGGCATCTGTGAAGATTGTGGTCTTGTGACGCCGGATCATTAAGAACACGTCCTAAAAAGGAAAGTAAGCAGAGAATGAGAGTTGGTTTTTACTCTCTATGTAGAATGGGATCAAACAGGATGGCTGAGGCTCAGATACATTACAACCAGGTTAAGTGTCAATAGCCCTTCTTTATTTGAGAAAACACCTTCAACAGGCCATGTAAGTCATGTATAGGTGTCCATCTGACAACTGTTTATTACATCTTACTAACCAGCGTCGTTAGCGAAGTCTTTTAAGGAAATGTAGTTGGTTATTTGCCGATGTGTAAAACAAGGGTTGTATTGAATTAACAGAACTACATTATTTGATTCAGAAGCAACAGTGACAAGCAGACGTACATTTGAGCTAACGCGAAATTAGCCTTCAGATTTTCGAGTCAAGAATCAGGCCTGTCAGCTAAAATCACACCACGTACAGTGACAACGCGTTCAGCGGACCTGACTAGTCTAACCAGGTTAGGTAGCCGAGCGTTACATCACGTCCAAGGTGAGCCAAGCAGAGATAAGTTACCTCGCTAGCTACACCGCTCATTATAGCTAAACGAGAAGGCGAAGCTAACATAGCATAGCCAGCTTAGCGTTAGCCGGCTAGCCAACACAAACTGAAATTAACCTCCATATAACCGACAGCATCGCACGTTATTATAGCGTTAATACTTTTAACAACACGCCGAACGTTAATCAGGCGTTTGTATCTCGGCGCCAATCTCTCCCAAAAACCGACCGGTAATAATAATAAAGTTACCATTTCAAGTGGTCAGCTAAGCTAGCCAGTGTCGCCAGCCCTGTGTTGTGCAGCAGAACCCCAGACTGCACCGCTTGCGGATATTGCGTAATTCATATCGCGAACGTTCGGTATTCTCGAAGGCCGCTACGTAAATTGCGTAGCGTCTTCACAATTTGGCGCGAGGCAGTTGCACGCCCGGAGAGTGTGCGCGCAGTTTGATTTGGACTCGGCGGCTGTTTTGAGGACGGCTGTCAACAGTGGGTTATGGTCTGTGCGATAACGTTACTTTAATTCTGCTATTTAACCTAACGCTGAACTGTTAGTTACAGTACGTTAACGGACTGTAAGTTAGCTAGCGAGCTACGTTGTGTTGTTGTTGTTGTGTTGTTGTTGTGTTGTTGACTGGGTCCGCCCTTAGTTAACGTTAGCTAACATTTGTTTTCTGGAGGTGACATTTGTCGGTGATGACAAAAGATGAGAAACGCTGCCCTGCTGCTCGGAATAATGTTAAAGGTATCCATAGATAATTCAGCTAAGTGACTTAAGGACGTAAAACTGACGTGATCAAACTTCTTCATCAGTGCATTCAACAGGTCTGTGAACGATATCTCCACAGGCTGGGAAGACCTGTTCTACAAAATGAGCTGACTATCACAGGATTGTATCGATACTGAGATCACACACCCTGTCAAGCAGGATGTTCAAGATGTTAGATCTCTAATCGTTACAAATGAGAGTGACCAAGCTGGAAAGGAGAACCTCCACAGAGTTCATTTTACTCAGGTAAGTAACACGGGTTTATTTTGTGTCTGAACAGATTTGTATTCTCTCTCGGTAGATCGGATTTTATAGCACATGTGTAAGAGATTTAATAATATGTTTAAATATTAAGTCTTTGCTTTCCTCAAAATCTTAAATTGGCAAGATTCTGTGCAGGAGTAGATAGTGAAGAGGGACATTGAATGGGCATGAGCAGTGCAAACAAAATGGCATTGGTACATTCATATCAACTGTCATTCAATCATAGTGTTTTAAGGTTTTTCTTTTTCATTTTGCAGCTCAGAAAGGAACTGAAAAAAGTGCTACACAATGTCAGTGGCAGTGGAAACCACAGTGTCCAGGGTGTCTCTCCCTCTTCCGGTCCACTTCTCCCACGCAGAGCAGTCCTTCTCCCTCAAAAAGCGGCGTCTCCCTTTTTCCTCCTCGTCTACGTCCAACTCCTCCTATTCTTCCCCTGCTCAGCTCTCCCATTCTCTGCCCCCTTTGCCACCATCCAAAGGATGCCTCCCTCTGAGCAGGATGTTCCCCCAACATCCATCCCCCTGGACACCCCTGTCTTGTTCCCTCAGAAAGTCTCCGAATTCTGTGTACAATCCCAGCAAACAACAGTCCTATTTCAGTCAGTGCTTCACTAATCTGGGCCTGCTGGGAAGAGGATCCTTCGGAGAGGTCTACAAGGTGAGCAAAACAAAATGTGTGTCACTGTGTGCATTTATATTAAAGTAATATAATACATATACTGAATTATTCCCAAGCTACTGAAGTTTAAGACACTTGGAAAAACTGTTACACAGCAATATTTACATAACATCTTGACTGTTTTGGTCTTGTAATGAGGAAGCTTGCAATACAAATTTAGATGTCTCTGTAAGCCTTATTTTGTCAACAAGATTATTATTTGGCGATTCCCCCAACAGAAGACAAGGCCTCAGCCTTTTCTGTGTTTTTCTAGGTGCAAAGCACAGAGGATGGACTACAGTATGCAGTCAAGCGCTCTGCTCATCGCTTCAGGGGCAACAGTGAGAGGAACCGGAGTGTGAGGGAAGCCAGGAACCACGAGCGCCTGTGTCCCCACCCTCACATACTGAATTTTGTGGCAGCCTGGGAGGAGTGTGGCCGACTGTACATTCAGACAGAGCTGTGTAGCACCAGCTTGCTGCTTCATGCTGAGAACCAGCCTCCCGGCCCAGGTCCGTCCCGATGGGATGATAACATTTATTCAAATATATAAAGTAATGTATTTTCATCTTACTCCAGAAAATTCTCACTTTCCCCAGACATACTAACTTAGTTTTCGTTACAGATGAGCCTGCAGCGTGGGCCTACCTGTGCGACCTTCTCTCAGCACTGCAGCACTTGCACTCCCATGGTTTTGTGCACCTGGACCTCAAGCCTGCTAATGTCCTCATGACTGAGTCTGGACGTCTCAAGCTGGGGGACTTCGGGCTGCTACTTGAGCTCAAACAAACGAGTGCAGAGCCTGTAGAGGGGAAGGTGAAAGAGGATGCCCAGGAGGGAGACCCCAGGTACATGGCCCCTGAGCTGCTCCGTGGAGAGTATGGACCTGCTGCAGATGTTTTCAGGTAAAAAATAACAACAAATGAGAAAATTCAATGATTATTTGAATTGATGATTATTGATCTGATTTTAAATTGGTGCCTAAATATTGTTGAATGGTTTTCATTTAGTTTGGGTATTTCAATCCTGGAGCTTGCCTGTAATATTGAGGTTCCAAATGGTGGAGAGGGCTGGCAACAACTCAGAAAAGGCAGCCTGCCCTCAGAGTTTACCAGTGGTAAGATCCACATTATTTTAAGCCCTCATATATTGTGTCATTATATTTATTCAAATGACTTATGTTTTTGTTACTTCCATCTCTGTTTGCAGGCCTGTCAACTGAGCTTCAGACAGTGCTGCGGATGATGCTGGCCCCAGAACCATCGGAGAGACCCACAGTCTCTGAGCTTCTTGCCCTCCCGTCTGTTTGGAAGCACAGTTGGAAAAGACGCATCTATCTTATGGTCACAGAGGCCACGCTGACACTGGTCTCCCTCTGCCAGGTAACATGTCAAATAAACATTAATGTTAAATGTATTAAACATGTAGCCTTTGCAGAGAGAGATTTAATGTGGCCACGACCTGCAGTCTTATGTAGAATGCTGCCTTCTGTCTTATACAATATGTAATGTAAATCTGAAACATCATCATTTTCTGTGTTTTTCTCGCAGTTGGTGGTGTGCTTTGGGTGCAGGCTCTTGTCCTCTCTTCACTTGTCCTTTCTCCCTCATTGGACCAAGCCAGTACCCTGCACTCCTTCTAAGGATAGCTGGGACAGGGATTTAACCCTGCCCCTCAGTGCCATGCACGCTGACTCAGGGAGCCCAGAGGACGATGCAGTGTTTCTGCTGAATTCCACAAACCCGGAGCTTTCGCCCACCTTCTCACACAGGTAGAGGATCCTTGTGTTGATAGGTTGTTGTCCTTGATGAGCTTGTTACTGCTCTTTACTCTAAAGGCACATATTTGGATTACTTGTGTATATAGTATATATAATTCATAGCTTAATTTTACGTTATGGCGTGGAAATGTTTTTCTTGTACAAACATCCAGCAACAGCGATGTAAAATAACTGTTTATACACTTCTTTTGCCTTGAGCTAAATGTTTTAACCCTGTCAAATCCCCTGCTTATTATTTCCATTTCCCCCACAGGGTCAAATCCAGACTGTCTGTGGAAAGCACATCGACTCCTCTCCCAGGTTCACCGACACACAATCATCAAAGTCCTGCCAACACACCCACTCACTCAAATCTGGGTGATTGGTTCTCCTGTAAGTTAGCACAGACGCCCTCCAGCATCCACTCAAATGGTTCCTGCCACAAACTGACACCCAGTGCGAGCCCCATACACGCAGAGCTTCACACAGACACCGTGAACGAAAACTCCACGCACAGCCGCTGCTCATCCCAGCGACGTGCTCGCAACTGGGTCCGAACGGAGGAGGCCGTACCCCGACCCAACTTTGAACCAAAGAACCTGCTCAGTCTGTTTGAGGAAACGACTCCATGAGTACGAGACTGCCAGTTTACATTCAGGGACAACGCGTTTTCACTTTAATATGTTGGGTGACGAGGACCTAATGTGTGAATGTACCAAGTTCACTACTTAGTGTGTATGAACTGCTTTTGCCATTTTGTAACAGTTGTATGTACAACAGCTTCTTGTATTTGAAAAAAATATATATATTTAGGGGAAAGGGGTTGAACATGTAATCGGACCTTTAAAGCACTTTTTATGTTTGTGTAAATGCAATCTGTTGCTGAAATGACAAGTCATGATGTATTGTTAAACAAGTTATCATTAGCTTGGTATACTCTGAGTTATTTACCTCGTGAGTTACAAAATGAAATAAAACGAAGAGGGAAAGAGAATCTAAACTTGTGGAATATGTTTTTAGTATAAGGAACTTTCAAAATGTAAAAACGTGTAACACAACATGGTTAAAAAAACAATCATATTCTCAGTATTTCAACAGATATTACAATATGACGTTTTCTTATGTCGGGAAAAACAAGATCTGTAGGTCAGAGTATCACTGCAGCACTACAGTACTTAATTATAATACTGTTTTGTCAGATGGCAGTCTCTGTGATTTGGATATTACTCAGCAATAAATTTTGATAATATTTCAATGAATTGAGCAGCCCTGGAGTGCTGTGCAAGGTTCATGTGAGCCCGATCAGGAATTTCCCCCATCAGTGACAGGTTATATCTACACCAATAATAGTGATAGGATGATGATGGGCCCATTGGTGGGGGAGGAATCTTTGAAAACGGTATTGCTAATGACTCTACAGGATATACATCTGAAAGACGTATTAAAAGATCAGCAGGGAATTAATGAATGTAGATTTTATTTTTTAAATCAAACCTACACATGCTGTTTTAAGGCTCTGTTTGCGGACTCACCAGTAGATGGCAGCAGCGCCTCTCACGCTGGACACCAGCTGCCTTTAAAACCCAGGAAGAGGATGATGATGATGATATGGGTGGTAAGCTGTTTCGTGCACATGCACAATACCCACATCTATCGGGATATTTAACCAAACCATTATTGGACTCCGTTCATCTCCTGTACAGGCGCTCCCTATGTATGGTAAATGCTGTGCATGGTCCTCAGATAGGAGTTTGCAGCCTAATTGCGAGTCTCTGCACATTTCAGGTGTCAATATTGTAAACAATGAGCGTTTTCATCAGGATCACTGTTAGATAATCTGGGATTCATCAAAGACCGAGACACTGTTTAACGGGAAGTTTGAGGTATGCTCTTTTCCTTTAGTTTAGAATTGGTATATAAGTATAATACTATCAGGAGCCCGTCTGTTTTAGACTGTTTTTATTTTTCTAATTCCATGGTGTGCTATTGCGGGGATATTGTATATTAATCTGTGTTTCTGCAACGATGTCTGTAGGCTCTACTATCTTAACACATGATCATTTGTTACTTGGTACAGATCTGTAAGGTTAAACTCAAATCAGCCTGCAAACAATTATGAAATAAACACACTGATCATCACCTATTATTATTATTATTATTATTATTATTATTATTATTATTATTATTATTATCAGTCCATAAAGATGTCCAAAATTGAGCGTCTGAACGCCCGAGTGGAGAAGCTGCTGTCTAAAGCTGTGCAGGAGGTTCTGGAGGTGGTGAAAGAGACTGTGTCAGAGTACCAGGAGAAAACTGCTAGAACACAGAGAGAGAACCAGAGTCTGAAGAGGAGGCTGCAGGAGCTCCAGGATAAGTTAAAATGGGAAAGCAATGGTAAGACAACATAGTACGTGTGTCCACAAATGTTGAAACTGTGTTATAAAATGTGTTGATTGTCTTTTTTTTGTGCTTTGTCGCCTTTGTTCTCGTGCAGGAATTGTGCCACACATGTCCCTTGCGGCCCAGCAGACTGCAGGAGCAGAGCTCGGTCTCGTGGATCAGAAACAGAAAGAAGAACTGGAAGAGGACATTGAACTCATCCCCTCTGATAAGGATGTTGCAGTAATAAGTCCCTCATATTCCCTTGAAGACCTGGATTGTGAAGCATCCATCTCATCATTAGCCACCCCCTGTATATCCCCGAGAGCTACAACAGTACCACATTTAGGTGGTGATAACTTGAACTATCCAAGAACTCTTAAAACGGAGAGCAATAGTGGACTGACAGCGCCAAATTCAAACCATGTAGACCCCGTCCCTGCTGTCACAATCTCTGAAAACTATCATAAAATGAAAGTAGAGCCAACATCGGATGAAGACGCCATGCACACTACAAATTATTTCTATGAGGATGCTGGTACTAGCGCTACTTCCTTACACAGACTGAACCTAGATCATCCTCAGGCCAGTGCAGGACTCTACAGTGAGTCAGGGGTTGCCTTCAGTCGGGACCAAAGTGGCACAGAAGAGCTGTTATCTCAAATATACAACAATGCAGACAGCGCTGGAGCAGAAAAACAACACAGCACTCAAACAAACACAAAAGCAGTAGGCTCGGGCTCAAGAGCGTTCCAGAGAAACGTCCGAAAACACTACTGCTGCTCGCTCTGTGGTCGCACCTTCAGGCACGCAGGCGACTACAAGAAACACAACAGGGTGCACACGGGTGAGAAACCGTACTGCTGCTCGGTGTGTGGGAAGCGGTTCAGCCAGTCGGGATACCTCACAGTGCACCTGCGCTACCACACGGGAGAGAAGCCGTTTGGCTGCAGCCATTGTGGCAAAAGTTTTAGTCACTCAAGTAACATGAAGAAACACCAGCAAACTCATCAGTGAGGCTGCTGTGTTTTGTGCACAGATATATCCAGATGTTTCTATATGCACTGTGTTACTGACAGTCAGGGATGGACAGTGTAAATGGCTGCCTATTTGTAATCTGCAAATAAAATAATAACTTATCTTCTATGAGCATTTATGTGGAGGTCAGATGAGCGTATTGTAATCTGATTTTAAAAAACGATGTAGCTTTACGAGTTTTATATGGAAAAAGTAATTGTGCCTTCTTTTATTAAAACAGGAAGCTTATTGTAGATTGCATGTCCACTTTCAAGTATCAAACACAGTCCAATATCTCCTACTGTTCCTGCCCGGCTGTTGTTTGTCAAATGTTTAGAGATTTGTTTACTGTTTTGCTCGTTGCGGAGATTCCTGTCTGGACCTCCACATTCATTTTCAAAATCAAATAAATGTATTTGGTACTTCTTTATGGTAAAGTGTTCTGTATTTCTTCACAATGATCCTACAAAGTCTGAGCCCCCAAAACAAAACCTTACAATACAACAAAACTCAACCAAACTCTGAGCAAACTGTAGCCTGCTTGATAAAACTTTACTGTATGAGTCATTGAAAGATCAGCATGGATGGTGCATAAATCATACATAACTGAACTATTTAACAAGACTGGGCATATATTTTAAAAAATACATCACCTACAAATAACTCAAGTCTTGGACAAAGTGGAAGCATTTCAAGATGTTGAATCCCTCTCAAGTTTGATGTGAACTGGTTGCCACAGAGACCAGATGAGTGTCCTGAGCTGGAAAAAAAACAGATGTTTAACTCACAAACCCATAGACTGGCCTTTGAGGCTGCCGTGTTGCAACAGCGGTGTGCAGAAGTATAGTCATACACTGTCAAAATGTGGTATTTTTACCCTTTTGTATAGCACCTCCTTGTGGCCCAATAGTGTCATTTCTTTTAGCTACCACCATCCCTAAACATTTAATTACATTGGTGGTGTGTGTGATATCACATTTGAAGTTAAAGAATTTAACAATACAATCAAAGCAACCTCATGACACCAATTATTATTTGGACTCAATATCATGAACCCCAGAGTCAGAAACATATGTACAAACTGCTGATATCCAATACATCAACACCACATATGCAGGCACACATTTAAATAGAGTTGAATTGACACCATACATCTGTTGAGTCTATCTGTGTACCTGCCCTTAACATTGCAGCACCTCATTATGTTCCTTTTCAGAGGGGACAAAACATCTTTCCCAACACTTTGAAGGTATTTTACAATCCTAGAATTTCCAGCAACTACTTCCCTTTCCTCTCTAACATGTAACATGTGTAAGCTTGATGCTGAAGGACTGCCTACTTAACCACATATGTTACATCCTGCTTCATAGATTTTTAAGATCACACAGGCAAGCTACGGGACACACTGATTGTGATACAACACATTTGACAAGTAAGTTTTCCATTTATTCTGTTTTTTGATATTGTGTCTGCTACCACCGTTAGTCAAAAGTAATTCTGTGTTTCAGAATTTCTTGAGATGACGTCATAATGCAGAGTGTCAAGTGTGTGGTTGTTGGAGACAAGGGAGTCGGAAAGTCCTACCTACTCCACACCTACATCAACAAGATCTTTCCTAAGGTGTACACACCATGTTTCTACGGCACATACAGCACCCAGGTTCATGTAGATAGCCAGACTGTCAGCCTGAACCTTCAGGACACAGGTAGCAGTGAGGAATATGACCGTTTGCGCCCCCTCTGCTACAGCCAAGTCAGTGTCTTCCTCATCCTCTTCTCTATTGCTAGCCCAGAATCCTATGAGAATGTAAAGCACAAATGGCATCCAGAGGTTAAAAACCATTACCCTAATGTGCCTATTCTCCTTGTGGGAACTAAGAGTGACCTGCGTGATGATGAAGAGGTCCTGGAGAAACTGAGAGAGCAAAATCAGACCACAGTCACCCAGCAGCAGGGAGCAACCATGGCAAAGCAAATAAAGGCTGTAAAATATCTTGAGTGTGCTTCAATGAGCCTGGATGGACTGGATGAGGTGTTTGATGAAGCTGTGCGTGCCTTCCTCAGTCATTCAGCGACCACCATGAAACCCTGTGTACTCTTGTAATTTAAAGTTGGATATAAATAGGCTATGTATAAATTTATATGGTTCATCTTTGTATGTGCATTTCTGTATGTTTCTGTGTCTGTGGGGCTTAATATGCTTATGTATGGGAATATCATGTATGCACTTCAGGATGCTTACAAGTGAAAGCTACAAGAGTATTACACCATATTACAGTTAAATGTGTAATTTACTTCCTGTTTACTTATTTAAATGTTTGGTTTTTCCTTGGATCTTCAATGGGTAGAAACACAATTTAATATAAGAAATAACATTGTTTTTGCACATTACTAAGTTGTTCATGTGGCCAAGTCTGTTGTGACACATCCGAGTCTGTAACAATCTGTCCACGTTCAAATCCCTAATCAAAACCCTTTTAGTACTGCTTTTAAAGTGTGATTAATTCGTATGTGTTGTATATTTCTTTGTGTCATTTTTATGACCATTTGAACTCATGTACTTCATTAGCTATAAGCCATAATCATCAAAATGAAAGAAAATGAAAGGCTTGAAATATTTAACTCAGTGCGTAATAAATCTATATAATATACGAGTTTCACTTTTTGAATTGAATTACTGAAATAAATTAACTTTACCATGATATTCTAATTTATTGAGATGCACCTGTAGTTGGAATAAACTCGGACTTTTATTTTGAAAAAAACACATCACGGCGGATGTGATTCAGGTTCTGCTTCCGGGGGTTGCGAGTTGTTTTGTTACGTTTCGAGTAGTGCTTTCTAATGTTTGTTTCCTTATTTTGTCCTTATTTTTCAAACCGTTAAGTTGACGGAAACGTAATTAATTCGCTGCTCACGAAGTAACCGCATGGCGGGTTTGGTGAAAGTTTAAAGGGAAGGCGATAACGGAGTTAGCTAATGCAGCTAACGTAAGCGAGCATTACAGCATATCCGCTAACTTCAGATTGCAGGTACAGCAGTCTTAAACATTAACTAGGGAAGTGACACTAGATTAACTGTGCACATTAAACACATGTTTGAAATATGGTTACCTTGGAGCTAATATCAAATAAACCGTGAGCTATTATAAACACTGAACATGAACGTTACCGTGGAAACGCTGACCAGACTCTGTAATTGTGTTAACATTTCATTGCAGTTAACGTACAGCCACGTAGATAAGAAACTGAGTATGTAAAAGATCTAAGAAGCTCTGACCAAAATGGGTTCAACATAAAACAAAAGTTTCCTGTTAAGTGTAACTTGTTCTATTGAATAATCTCAGTTTCTCAGGCTTTCAAAGAGGCACACAGTCTGATGATAAATGGACATTATATCAAACAACTGTGTCTGTTTCTGCCATAGTTTCTGTGCACCAGTGTTTGTGAGACATTTCCTATTAATGATTATGCAATAACAGTCTAATACATGCTGCTCTCTTCTCAGATGGTTATGCATACTCCTTTCTCACACTAAGTGACATTTTATTGCAGGATGTCTAAACTTGAACGTCTGAATGCTCGTGTGGCCAAGCTGCTGACTGAAGCGGTGCAGGAGGTTCTCGGGGTGGTGAAGGAGACGGTGTCTGAGTACCAGGAGAAAACTGCCAGAACGCAGAGAGAGAACGAGAGTCTGAGGAGAAGACTGCAGGAGCTTCAGGACAAGATAACAAGAGAAAACATAGGTGGGTAACAAGGGTAGTATTCTTGGGGCAGTCATCATTATATCTTACTATCCAATGCCAAGTGTGAAGTTATTCATTAGTAACTTAGTATAACATGTCTTTCTTTTGGTATTAATTTCACAGTTGTTCTACCCATAAGTAATCTATTACCTGAGGAACATGAAGACGCACACGAGCAGGATTTGGCGCTCGCTTTGAGGCAGAGCTCAGAGCTTCCTCTCCTAGAGCAAAAAAGCAGCCTTGAACCCGACCATGACGTGAAGCAGGAATCGGACGAACAGGAGAACTACAATAACACTGTATCACGAGCTGAGTGCAACTTGTTTCCAACAACAGAGCACTGCCAAGCACAACCAGAGGAGGTGACACACATTATCGAGGAGGCTAAGACAGTCCACACATCACACAGTGCAAACAGGGAGGTCGGTGCGGTCCCATCCAGCAATGTGAGCACCTCTCACTCCGACACCTCGCTCGGGGTAAACCTGGCTGAGGTCAAACTAGAGCCAGAACCAACATCTCTTCAAGAACAATATATTGGATGTGTGGATTTAAGCTGCAACTCTTCTCGTCAAACCTCCGCTGAGACGCACAGCCCGCAAGTTAGTGCTGAACCTTGTGGACTTGTCTTTGTGCACTCAAATCACGCCATACCTAGGAGGCATGGATTCGCAAAAAGCAACAGGGCTGCATTTGACGGGAGGAAAATCAGGATGGAGCACTTCAGGAGAGACGACTCACACTCATGTGCTGTGTGTGGAAAGACGTTCAGCAGGGTCGGGAACTTGAGGATCCACCAGCGTTGTCACACAGGGGAGAAGCCGTACGGCTGCGTTCAGTGTGGGAGGCGTTTTAGTCAGGCAGGAGACCTAAAAAAACACAAGAGGGTCCACACAGGGGAGAAACCGTACTACTGCAACCAGTGCGGAAAGAGCTTCAGTCGGGGGGAGAATCTGAAAAGACACCAGAAGATTCATATTGGAGAGATTTTACAGTTACAGCAAGTTTGGAGGGAGCAGCAATGATTATTATACCCGACTCATTGCAAATCAGCAAATTCAGCACTCTAACTTTGTGGCGAGTCGGTGAGGGGTAATTTCTGCCCTTAGTTTAAGGAATACTTGCAAGAAACTTTTGCTACAGAACATATTAAAACAACTCATTGGGCATTGTTACAAGGAGTTACTTGCTGTTCTTCGTCTTGTACGTAGCGAGTTGCGTGCTACTGACACTGTCGTTTTGTCTGTCTGATCATGATGGAACAGGCCCGTAGAAGGTCATCACTGAACCAAAGAAAGCTTTACAGATAGAGATGCACTGATGTAAAGGCAAAGCCATTTTTATTAGTACGTAGAGTTTTATGTGCTCCAACACATGGTCATGAGGAGATTGCACATTTTATTCAGCAGCTCCAGTTGTCAAAATAATTTGATTAAAATGCATAACATTATCAGTAATGTGTCATAAAGTAGATGGACAACTTTTAGACATTTTCTTATTCATTATTGGTGCATCTCTACCTAACAACTTTGATATTGACTAAACAGATTTATATCCAGTGAGCCTTTAGTCTAAAAAACAGGTTTAAAGGTCCAGTGTGTAACATTTAGGAGGATCTATTGGCAGAAGTGGAATTTAACATTCATTATATGTTGGTGTATAATCACCTGAAAATAGGAGTCGTGTTTTTGGTACCTTTGAGAATGAGTGTTTTTTTACCTAAAGATGGAGGGTGAAGCAAATGAGCTGCAATCTGCAACTACACCACTAGATGCCACTAAATCCTACACTCTGGACCTTTGAGCATATTACAGTGTGTTATATAGTGTGACACTTCCTTTGGTGATGTACGGAAAGAGTTCTCTCATGTTAAATAGGTTAATGCTGAAGACAATGATTGAAACTTTTTAAAAATCTGAAAAGCATGATTGTCATTAAAATTGCCTGATTTTCTAGACTGATTGAAGCTTGCTGTATGCTGGATATATATTTATCGCAGATTTATTTTGTTATTTAGGATAAAAAACCAAGAAAAGAGTGTTTGCACAAGAATAAAATTAATTTATCACCACCACAAATGGCTCAGTGAGTGTTGTTTTAAGTGTTCTTCGGAGGATTTGTTAACACACAAAGGCTTGTCTTAGTATTCAGAGGTGTTTTGTGTCATGGCCTAATGAGTTATAAAAGTAATGACAAATAAATGTGTGTCAACTTAATTTAACCTCATGAGTTAAATTTGACTTGAGCAAGTACTACATGTGTGAGAAATTATCACATGCACCTTAACCTTACACACCACGTTTATAGAGAATAACCAATACACACCACGGACACACACCCACAGCCAACAACGGTATGTTAACAGCATTTTAAAGAGACAGTGGTAACATCTGAGAAACCACAAGTCCTTCAAATACCAGATGAATTGAGATTATACAGTATATATAGGGTGCTTTACTGTATTAATTTACAGCTATGGTCAACCTGCTGTGCCTTAACCTGTTTGGGGGACCAATACTGACCACTGTGCATTGTGTATAGTGCACACAGCAGCCTCTTTATCTGACCAGGGACCCTGAAACCTGTCAGTACTGAAAATTAGCTTTACACTAAACTCTGGTACAGTACATCAAATGTTAACATTTATGCTTAATACTGTACACGGTCCACATAACAAATAATAGACCTATAAAATAAATGATGCTTTGTACAATAACACACAATACAAGGTACAATATGTGAATATATGAAGGACCTTTGCATTGTGATGCTTAACAAACACAATCAGAGAAAAAAGTCAAGAACTATAAAAAATTAAATACAAAAAGGACAATAAAATGTATATCAAGTTAAATTAATGTGCATTAATGTAAGGAACTGAGTCAGATATGGAGACTTTAAGCCAAAGTGCAGTGTCCATGGGGCGGGATGAGTCCAAGTCAGTATGGGTCTTATTGATCAGACCAGACAGTGCAGACAGTGGACTCCTCTGCTATCCATTAAGTGACCAAATAATGCAAGAACTGCATTATTTTACTATATTTGCTTTCCAAACAAATGTGTAATTAATCAAATTAACCCAACCAACTAATACAGGTACTTGCATAAGTGCTTGTCAGGGCCATAGTCGTGTTCTTTGTTTGAGAAAGGACATTAAAGGAAGTGTTGTCCTCAACTTCTTATATTTGAGAGAATAAGTCAATTACACAGCTGTGGGTCCGATCTGCTTCACTCGAAAGCTCCGCTGAATCAGGGGCCCGGAGCACGGGTCACTTCCCAGGGATTAGGTATTACTCAGAGTTTGATTCAAGGGTCACACTTTTTTTCTTACAGTGTGTGATTGAGTGAGTGATTAAAGCTCAGTTTGTTGTTCATTTCAGGGAGACTGTTCAGAAATCCTGAAGATGAACAAGAAGGATCTGTAATCAGCAGAATATCTGTTTGTATAGTGTTCGTTAGGTTTTCACCAACACCCAGTAGCCTATAACAAACCATTCTCACATTATGTTTTGTTGAACAAATATCTCACACCATGCCGGTCTGGCTCCACCTTGTCTGACAGGTAATGCAGACCTCCATATGTAACAGTCATATTAAAACAGCTGGCTTTAGCATGAATAAAGTCCACTGTGTTGTTGAATGTTGAATGAGCATGCAGCTGCAGTACAGTCTGTGCTGTTGACGTGGAGCTGCCCTCACCTTACCAGGAAGCGATTGACACACACCCACAGGAGGAAACTGAAACACACTTACACACTTCAGAAAGGTGAGTAAACAAGAACCATGTGGAAGTGAGAACTTTGTCTGGCTTCGCAATTTCTTGCGAAGTGTAAAAGTGAGCATGTTGCAAATAGAAACCGATATTAACGAGTCAGTCATGTTTTTAATCTGGAGAAACCGAGAAACGCAGACGTTAACGCGGATGGTGAGACGTTAACTTACCGCCATGAAAACAGTCGGCAAATTATTAATGGCGGCCGGTTTGGCATATTTCCAGCAGTAAATAAACGATATTTAAAAAGTGACTGTTTTTAAATGTTAAAATTCAGGATTTGGAGCAATGCGGAAGTGCGTTTATTTATTTGGCCTGCAGAGCTGAGTCGTGTCAGTGTTAGTTCTCCATAAACACACAAACACTCTCAGTCATAAATGTGGAATAATTGCTTTTATTTGTGTCTGTGTTGCAGGTTCATTTCTGAGCAGCCTGTGATGTTGAAATGAAGCTTGATGAAAAAGTTGTCACCTATTTTGAATCTTGCAACTCACCTGTTGACAAAGAAGGGTTCCTGTACAAGAAGGTAAGACACTTAAAGAACTTTATTTTTATTATTATAGTGTGTTACAAAAGTCATTTATTGTAATTTATGCACACCCAATAACCACTTTGCCTGTCAATCATATGTTTGTATATATCTATATGTGTATATATGCATATATGTTTATATAATAATGAACTTTTATTTGTACAGCACCTTTCAAAACAATGAATACAAAGTGCTTCATACAGTACAATTAATATTTAAACATCACAGCATTACAGTTAATTAAAATCAGGCATATACGAGTAAAAGGAAACATAATAAATGGCTTGAATAGTGCTGCTGTACTCAAAATAATGTCATTTGAATTTCAAAGCTCATAGAAACCCGTACTACTACTTCCCTTTTGTGTAGTTCACCAATCGAGTTGTGTCAGAAATTGTGTAAATGAGCTATTTCTCACTGAGTCAGTAAACCACAGATGGCAAAATTGTCCCACAGGGTGAGATAAAGACTTCCTATCAGAAGCGCTGGTGCGTGTTGAAGGGGAACCTCCTCTTCTACAAGGACCGGCCGTCTGACCGGGACCTGACAGGAGTGATTGTTCTGGAGGGCTGCACCGTCCAGCTGTGCGAGTCCGAGGAGCAGTTCGCCTTCTCGCTGGTGTGGAGCGACCCGGGACTGAGGACGTACAAGTTTGCTGCCGAGGACCAGGCCAGTCAGGAGAGCTGGATCAAAGCCCTGCTGTCGGCCAACCACAACTACCTGGCCCTGCTAGTGATGGACCTGGAGAAGAAGTACAGAGGTGAGAGACTGAAGAGGCTGAGTGTCTTTTTTTTTTAAATTTATGGGTAAAAGAGAGCTGCCTTTGTTCTGGAGAGCAGCTGTGTGAGGCATCGAATCACTGTTTACAGACGCCATGTACATGGTGGTACATGGTATGCAGAGAGTATTATCTCGTAACATCTGACTGTCAGCATGTGCAGAAACGTTACTGTCAACGCAATAAGTCAAGTTTGTACTGATCTACGTTTGTAGAGGTGTTATATCAACTCTTAAATTAGTTTTTGAAGGTGTAGCTTGCAGTTTTGCTTTATTTGATTGCAATACATTGTAAAGTAAATGGTGTTTTTAACTCTTCTCCAATGAGTCAACAAAGAGTGAACATGATAAACTTCACAAAGGTTGGTTTCATTGCAGGGTTATTTATACTGGTATGCAGTGATAACATGTAATGAAAGTAATTAATAGCCTTATGTTAAATATCTAATGCAAATTTTGACTCCAGGAAGTGCAAATTCCTCTTGTTTCAAGGCGGAAATGAGACGGGTAGCAGTCTAAACTTCATGAAAAAGTGATCAGTTGTCCGCCATTATTTCAACCTTACTTTTAGGTTTAGAACGAGACATTTGAGACAGGTCTTTGTTGATATAAGCAATTTATTTTTATCCTCTGATTTTTTCAGCCTTGCTATCTATAATAGTTACTCTATGATACATAAAAAAATGTGTGTCTCATGGGTGAAATAAGGCCCCTGCATGGGCGTGTAGTTTGAGATCCCTGACTCTGATTCGCAGTTTAACAATAGGATAAAATCTTTCATTCTCAGTGCTCTACAGTCGAGGTAGCTGTAGCTCAGGTACGACAGGTTGTTTAAATACTGGCTCCTCCCGTCAACAAGTTTCCTTAAGCAGGACTCTGAACTGACAAAACTGCAAAAGGAGGGCATAAGAGTGTTATGTAAGTAGCTTTCACTTCTCTGTCAATGTAACTTGAGCTGTTTGCTTCATTATGTGTTTCTTTCTTCCTCAGATGCGTTAGGCGAGTTCTCCAGTGAACCAGCCAACACTTTCATCATGCCAAATTTCAACACAGCAGAAGCGGGACATCCTGCCGCCTCTTTAAGCGCACAAACTTCAACCCAGCTCTCCTCGTTTCCAGCGCCAGGCGTGGGAGCAGGGCCCGGTCTGAGCTCCAATCAGATGCTTCAAGCTCTGACCATTTCACCCAAATCAGCCAGTAAAAAATCACCCAAACTCTGGCCCAAGAGGAATGCAAATGTGGTGCCTATAAACACTCCTGCTGTGCCGTTAGAGGAGTGGTCAGGGGTCTGTTTCACCAAAGAGGAGTTTTGTAAATTGCATGAGGATTTTGGAAAAGAGGTGAAGGAACTGATTGCCGATTGGTCAAAGAGGGGACGACATGATGAAGTTGTTCAGGAAGAAAACCTAATAGATTTTGGATGATACATGTCAAGTGTACACGGTGTCTAAAACATAATTTCAATAACTGGGGTTGCATTGCAAAGCTATTATGTAAATAGAACCACACTTATTGTTAAGATATATTCCATATATTTATATTTGTTTAAGAGCATGCTGTTTCTTTTTTTTACTAATTGTGCCATACAAACAATAAACAATCTATGATCTGCTCTATTGATCTTTGTTCTTTATCAGAGTGATTTCTTCATGTGAACTTTTGAGCTGTAAATGTGACCTCTTTATCCACTCTAACTGCTCCATTCAGTCTACAGATCTAATCCGTCGGGCTGGGTATCGTAAAAGTAAGGGATAAAACCTGACTATTTCACTAAAATGAAATCTTTTTTTAAATAGTTACAGTAAATTAAATGGTTTAATACTGGCACCATGATTTAGAACCGCAAACAAAGACTTCCCAGAATGAATCCAATTTTATATAAGTGCTGATTTCATACCTGAATTTCTGTGGAGATACCTTAAATAATGTTTTTTCTGAAATAAATATGAAGCCATGCTTTTCTACAAAAGCTTTTTTTTTTTCAGCAATAGCAGTTT